TTCATTAATAAAATTATTAATTCTTCAGGTGACTAATAGACAATATATATATATAATATTATTTTTTAGTTTTTCTAGTGTTACATTCATATAGAATGGCCTACTGAATTTTATAATTTTTCTATAAAATCAGCATAGGGTGGGTCACCCTACATATTTTAAATTAAATATATGCTCCCTTTTTTCACGGTTTATTGTATTTGATTTCTTCTATTCACAATTAGTTTAATGAAATAATTATTAATTTTTACTCAATATAAAATTGGCAATATATCTCATAATAACAAATATTTTTAAATAATTAATCTTGGATCCGGGATGTTAACATAATTTGAATAATTTGTAAAATAATACAGCATGGTGTAATATAATATACATAAAAAATATACATAAATATATGTGCATAGTTATATATATAATGGGATATTGCATTTCATTTTCAGTTTTTGTATAGTAGATATTATTTATTATTTTATAAAAAGTTTGAATGATGTTAGAAATTTGAATTTATAGGTATAACATTACAATTTTTATTTTATTTATGAACTTTAGAGTTTTGGCTATTCTACGGATGAAAATAAATAAAATGTAATGATTTATATAGGTTTCTGTATATTCTAAGACAATTTTCGTGTTCTGAATTGTAAACTTTGAAATAAAAAATATTTACTCCGTATAAATCGTTACTCGAGCAACAAGTCCGTATAAATTATATGTTTAAAATTGTTGTTGAGGGAAAGAAATAAGAATGAGAGTGAAATCCTAGGAAATATGTTCTTAGAGGTGGTAGTTATATACGCAATAAGGATAGACGGTCACAGTTTAGTGTTACATGCCTAACACAAAAATGTATAATCGACGCCCTTTCGTGCTACTATCAACAGTAGTAGCGATGGCTGCAGTGGCAACGGCAGCGGCGGCGGTGGCAACTTGTGTATTGATTAACAACTATTGCTCCGGCGGTCGTTCAGAATGTTCAGAGCGCTGAACACATTTAGTTTTTGCGGTCGCCCCCTTTATCATCCAATGCACTTTTATTCAAATGTTTTTTATTTTAATTCAAAATATTAGAATTGATAAAATCAAGCATATTTTTATGTTTGGTATAGTATACAATTTATATAATATAAATATAAATAATAACAATAACTTTACTGGTTTACAAATCATGGTACAATCTGTTTTTGAAGAAAAATCAATTTCAGATTGTTATTGAATGGCGATGGTGGCAAGTATTGTGTGATAAAGAAGATACGATGTGTTTCAAAATAATTCAACCGATTTTAGCAAACTATAAATATTGCTCCTGTAGCTTGTAGTAAACGAAGCACAAACCTAAATAATAAAATATTGTAATAAATATAAAAATAATTTAAAATTGAAATAAAAATTTCCAAGAAACCGGTTGCTTATGAAAAGGGAAGTCATCAGGTTGACCAATAACTTCAAAGAAAAATGTTAAGCAAATTCAACAACATTTTGTAAGAAATCTGCAAAAATCAGTTAGTCATGCACCCAAAAAACTTTTTATTCTATAGACAATAGTTATGCATGTTTTGCGGATACGTCTGAAGTGTATAGTAAACCATACAAAACTCAGCTTTTGCAGTCTCTATGACAGTGATACGCAAAGAAGGCTTGAGTTTTGCAGATCTATTCTTGAAAAGGATGAAGAGATAGAACAGATTTCCTATCATATCATATTTGTTTTAAATATTACATATAAAACTCAATGTAATTGACTAACTTTTAAAACTTATCCTAACCTGATAATTACAATTTTATAATAAATGTATTTTTTTGAAATCGGATGAATCATTTTGAAGCATTCTGTATATTATAAGTGAGATATTTTGGCCACAGTAGAGAGAAAAGAGATTTGAATGAAAATGGATATGTTCCAAAACATTTTAATTACCGTTACCACCGCAGTACCACCGCTATTTTACGATATTTCAATTTGAACTCATCCGTTTGTACGAGATGAAGACTTGTGCCAAGACCTATACATTTCGTCTTTTATATAATTATTTAAAACTTTCTAGTAAATATGTTTGGAAAAAGTAGAATATCAGCTGTCTTCTTAAAGTACTATCAATATTTTTTATCTTTTTATAGTATTTATTTATAATATCAATGGAAATTTTAAGTATATTTTCGCTGATAAAAATGCTCAAAAATTTCCATACTGAAGTTTTTGTTAGCGCAATATATTTAAAATTTTTTTTTTTTTTTTTAATAAACTGTGATTTGATACCATTAGATAATTAAATACTTTATACTTGATTAAAATTACAATTTACTATCATAGAACTGATATATAAATGCATTATTAATTTTAATTTTGGTGGTGTACTTAAAATTATTATACTAACTATAATTATTTAAATTTATTTCACTTTTATAATACAGAAAAAACAATTGTTCGGTATTTTTATTTTTATAATGTTATAAATCATGGGTTGGTTTTACTTTTATTTTAGGTAAATTAAAATGATAATAAGTTGATATTAACAGTATTTATTTTCTAAAATCAATCAAAACTATCGTAGTTGTTAAGAACTTGTGATATTTTTGTAATTGAAAACTACTTACATTATACTAAGATTTTTATCTGACCTAGTGATTAGTAAAATACCTTTATCGATTACCAGATTCTGACTATTCATTAACAATAAAAGGGGTTTTCTGTATAATACATTTTAAGGAGCCAAATAATGAAATAAGATATATGGATAAGAAATAAAATTTCTTCTACAAAGTTTTTTTGTCTACTAAAATGTTACTCGGTAACGATTATAAACTAACCATGGCAACAAAGTTGGGAAGCAGGATAGTAAACAATTTTAAAATAAGAAGATAAATAACTGATTAAAAATATTGGTTTCCCTTTCCCCTTGCAGTAATATACGATGACAGTGTATATATAACGACTAAATTGTCATGGTTAATATATTGTACTATTTAGGGTGATTCATAAGTTTTTACTAACTGCGGTATCTTTTATATATATTAAAATAACCAAAGTCTCTTCTTATTATTTATTGGCATAACTTATTGCTAAATGTATTCACCATTGAGAATATAATGTTTGTATGAAAATCAAATGAATAACTTTTAACTTTATTATTTTTATAAAATTTGATTGCTTGATTGGTTTTACCTAAAATATAATATTTTTAGACATACAAATGTAATTTTTTACGTTTCTATTGAATTTTATTAATAAAAACATACTTAATAATATGCTTACTTCTAAATAAATCAAATTTTGAACAATCTGTACCTAATGATTTATTAGCAATTAATGAATAAGATGATGAACAGTTATACTATTATTGAAAGTCCGTTTTACAATCATATCTATGGTTTTGTCCAATATTTTAACTAAGGTTTAAATTTAAACTTATATGACAAATGTATTCTAGTTTAACTAACACAACAGTAATTATAATTGTATTATGTTTAATAATAATTATCATTTGGTTTTATCTATGAATTTACGCCATAATAACACGCAATGTTTAAAAATGAACTTAAAATATTTTATTCAGATGATTATTATTCAAATGAACAATGTGACTTGAAATTATGAATCATTAAAACACTTTTTATTTACAAAAGAATAATAGTTAACCTTAAAAAGTACAGGATTATATACAACACTTAATAAATTTAAAACAATAAAACTGTTATTTTACAAAAAAAACCTTGATTATTGCGCAAATATACAGACATTTTTTTTTTTCATATTTCCATTAAATCAATGAAGTTTTACATTTTGTGTAAAAATTTGTTTTTAGACAAATTTATTTAAATAAATACATAATTAGTACCACAAAGTAATTAAAATGTATTTGAAAATTAAACTGTAGATATACTTACTAATAATTAATTTACCTATTATTAAAGCACTATTTTATTATATTTTATTTGAAATTTGAATTACTTGTTTGAACTATTTTTGAAATTATCATCCTATTATATATAAATCATTCATATCACTTTATGGTATAAGCCTATGTATTCATTTAATTCTTATTACCTTAACATTTCAATCTATGTTTCATTTCCTATCAAAGTTTTGATCCATATACACGTAAGTTTGATACTCTCTTCACTAACATACAATGTACCTTTCAATGTACAATCAAAATTATATCCTTATATATTAGAACAAAATCCACTTCATATAAATATATTTTTATCTTATATTTATGATTGATGAATATTTTTTTTTAAAATAAACTTTTCACAAACAAAAACATGTTTTAATATATTATGCATATTACCATGTAATATTTTAAAAGTCTTCATTTTTTTTATATCAGATATTCATATTTTATTTATATCGAATATTAATAAATTAAGCAATGGTAAAAGTAATTGTGAGTTATCAATGATTTAAGATAAAATAAATTATATTAATAATATTTTAAATTATATTTTAAAAAAACAATAAAAAAGGGATTTATTTATCTATTACTATTTGCTATGATAGAATATATTTTTAATAATCACAATATTAGTTTATTACTTTATTATTGTTCTTTGAAAAAGAACAATTATATTTTCTATTTTACTTCTTTTTATGAGTCACTCATTTTATTTTACATTTAATATTTTTGTATATAATTTACTTACTGAAATAATATTCAATTGGTATTAAATCTCTAATTTAATGTATTCAGTATTCAAATATTTTTGTGTTTGGTTTTTCTAAAATTAAGAAAATTAAATTGTATCACCCTTAAATATGTTTTTTTCTGATTATAAGATATTTTAACATCAAAATTGAAGTTAGTAAAATTAAAGATGCAAATTAATGATCAAAATGGTTTTTTATTTGTATTTCTGGAAAATGGTAACTAATTTGAAAAACAATTATAACGTTAAAAAAAATAATTTTCTATTACAACTTATATAAGTCGTGTCAAAAGAATAATAAGAACCTATCTAAAATACAACAAATTTTATTAAAATTTTTGATTTTTTCATAGGACGTTGTGGTCACGACAGTCCATGTCAACAACTATGCTACGAACTTCATGATGGCATGTTTGAATGTGATTGTAAATCAGGTTTTTCATTACACGAAGATGGTTATAGTTGTATTAGTAAGTACATTATTTATATAAAAAATAAATAAAAATACATGTGATTGATAATTATCATCTATTTTTACTGAAACACATTAAAATTAATATTTTACTAAAAATATTTTCAATATTTTCAAAAAATATTGTTTAGTTGTAAAAAGTAACATAAATTATAATTTACAAATTAATTTTTTATGTTTTTACTGCACCCTACTTCACATTTTAATTAAATGGAAATTCTTGCAATCGACCAAAAACATATTCATTTTGTGTCAACATTTCAAATTGTTTATACCTATATAATAAGAATTATTATTTTATGAGAAACCTCACGAGAAAAAACTTTTTATTATTAATGTTCAACATCTGTAACAAAAATCATACCCAGACAAAAACTGGGTACTCAGAAAAAAAAATCGTTACCTACCCTAGCAACTACAGAAAACTCTCCACTGTTAAAAACATTTGTCATATAAATAAAAATGTATCCTATATATTTATCAACACTTTTTGAACATCATGTTTATGTTTTAAAGAACTTAAATCAAAAACAAATGATAGATGAACATTTATTTATTCCATTTCTAATTTGATTTGTTTTTAAATTATTTTAATATAAATGAAAACATATTATTAAAATAATTATTTTACTAACTTAAACGGATAGTTAATTATAACTGAAATGAAAACATATTTACTTGTATACGTATAGTTAGTAATACATTTTTATATGAATATCGTGCAATGCAACTTATAAATAAATTAAAATTTGTTTAAGTGCATTTAGTATTTTTAATGATTTTACACAAAACTATAAAGTTAAATTATAAAAATAATTCTTAAGGTTTAAATCATATAACATGTAAATATTATGCTAATTAAGTCTTGCTCTTAAAAACAATGCCATCTTTTAAATTAAACATTTTAATTTACTTCATTTTAAATTTTTTATTATATAAACTAAAATTGAAAAATCATTATTTTAAAAAGGTTACATATAAATTAATGAAAACGTTTTGTAATGCATTTTTCTTTTTTTTTGTTTCCTGAAAAGTTTATATATTTTTGTTTTTTATAAATTTATTTAAATAAATATTAAAGAGTTATATAATCAAGGATAATAACATGTATAAGTATAGTTAAGTCCAAAAAATCTTGTACAACTGAGTCCTTAATAATGAATTATATGTATGAAAAAAAATTCATGTTTTCCTCTTAATTTTTCTGTCAACCACTACAAATGAATTGATATGGTTATAAGGATAGTGCAATCGTTGGGGGTTAATTTTCATTTTTTATTTACCTCCATAATATTATTAAATTATCTAAATTTCATCTGGCTATCAAATTTATATTTCATCTTTTGTCGCCTTGCTAAAGTAAATTGTTTGAATGCCTTAAATATTTTTTTTAGAAAACGATTCGGTAACAGATAAAATCAATGAATTTGAAAGAGATATTGGTCTAACGTTTGTCGATTCTAATGAAATCGATTCTGAAGACAGCGTTCGATTTGTCAAGCACTTAGACCTACAAACTACCACTTCTACAAGTTCACCGGCTTTATGCGAGCGAAAGTGTGGCGATGGCGCATGTACATTCGACAGCCGAGGTAAACAGACTTGTCGATGTCCATTCAGTAAAACTGGATCCAACTGTCAGATAAGTGAGTATATTTACATATTTTACATTTAATAGATTTTAATGGTGTTAGGGTAAATCTTAAAAGCTAATTATTTAGTAAAATGAAGATTAAAAATGTAAAAATGTTAATACATTTCTATACCATTGTATAAAATAAATAAAGTGAACAATTAAATAAATGGTCTATAAGTTAAATAATACAATTAGATAGTTATCTAATTAAGTCTTACATATGACACATAATAGTCTTGCATTATAATTTGATTGTAGAAATATTAATTAAAAATATGATAAAAGATGATCTAATTTATACTTGGGAACATAATATTTTTATAGTAAAGTAATTTTCAAACCTGTTTTTACAAAGTTAGATATCAAATTTTATTATGATATAGTTCAATTTAATTTACTAAGTATAAATAAATCATTTTTGTGAGTAAAATATACATTCCAAGAGTATAAAATTAATATACATATAGATTACAAAACAAACACAAAGTGACAGTTTTTGTATAAACATATAATGTTCCTATCTAGTATATAAATGTTTTATACTATAATTTTAATGGACTAATAGATTCTAAATTTTTTTAAATATCACGAAAAATAATATATTGCATATATGATGTTTAAAATTATAGTAAAATAAAAATACATATTTTTAATTTTAGTGAAATTAAAAAAATATATCTTACTTAATTTATTACTTAAAAAAAGTATGTCAGTATTGCATTCGCATGATAATTGTATAATAATATGTTCAGAACATAACAATTCCTTTAAAACACCAACAGTAATTCTATAACAAAATTTAAACTTGTAAATAACCATAAAGTATCAATAATTATATTAAAATATTTCTTAAAAATTTGGTGATTTACAACATTGTATTTTGTGTAATACATGAACAGGGTTTGTTGTAGCAACTAGTTAGTAACACTTGTAATAACAAATACTTTATTTTATTACTTTCTCGGTCATGACATTTTTTATATTTCTTATTTTTATGTACCTTAGTATATTACTGACTAGCCATATTATTAATTGTATTTTAATTTAAATTGTGTAAATTCAAACATGTTACGTTTTATGAGGCAATACAACTAAAATAATTTAATGTTAAACTAGGTTGTATATTTTAAAACCATTTTTAATTTGTATTTATCATTCTTTCTAGTATGTTTTTTAGGTTATGTTTTCAAGTGTTTTACACAGTATACTATTACTCAATACATATTTTTTCTTACTTTGGAAAAAATATTGACATCATGCTTTTAATTTTTCTTTTATTTTATTATGTTGGATAAAATTGATAGGTTTCTTCTTGTAATCATTTTAGAAATAACAGGCTCATTTATGTACATGTATGTAATAAGAGTACAATTTACTTTATTACGAGTATCATCAATTATCACTATAATTTTAACTAACTAGCATCTTATGAAAAACCTATATATAAAATAGTACGTTTGTAAAATCTAAATAACTTTTGATAAAAATCCATCCAGAGTTGATTGAATTTTTTTTTTCTTCGATCAACTTCATAATCATATCATCGTAGGATTTATGTTGCTTGTAATTTTGGACTTATTTATCAATATTAATCCATACCGGTACCGACTTAATTCGCATTTATAACAAGTTTGTTCAAAATATGTACATAGTTTCTTGATTTCTTCATATCTTCTAATTTTCAAATGACCCTTTTAACCGGTGTGTAATTCGAATAGAAGAATTTCTTGCTGTGTTAGTATAAATGGAAATCAGAACCAGCTGTTTTGAGTCTAATAAGTGAATGAATCAACAGTAAGTCCAATAAGCTGTAATCACTGTACCTAAACATTAAGGTGTCCCTTATTTTTGAATTTACTAACTTTTGATTCTTTATGTCTTATTTTGTTCATTATTATAAAAGAGTTATTTAAATTAAATTTGGTTATGATTACTACCCCTTTCACATACACCAAGGGAGTTGAAAAATTAAAAAATTGGGTTGTTATGCCGTTTTTTTTTGAGTATAATCAATAAACTATTAATGTTATCAAATAAATATACACCACTTAAATTATAGAGATATATATTTTTAATAAAAAACATTTCTATAACATTATTCGTATACATATATTATATAATATAATTTATAGTATATTATTTTCTAAGAAAAATTATAAAATATTTCACTTATTCCAAAAAAAAAACTGACTTTTTACGGTTTTATAAGTATATCAGAATAACAATTAGTAATACAATAAAATATCTAATATAAGAATGATAAAATATTAAATTTTCTAAAAAAAATTTGATAAGCCTAAATTGTATTGGTTTGATTGATATATTGCAAGAGTCATTTAAACTTAAGAAAATTAAAAATATCTATGTATAACTGTTATTGTATAACTATAACTGTAGTTGTAGCTAATATTGATGTGTATTAGACTTATCTGTGACTGAACGATCGATAACTTATGATATGATTTTAATTGTGTAAATAATGTATAGATATATAGATATTATGTATTACTAAATGTAAATATAATATATTGCATTTTTATTTCAGATTATGTCATAAATCTGCAATAAGACAAAAAAAGATACTAAACAAAAATGACCGAGTTAATCCATAAATTTAGTTCATAAAAGCTTTGCCTTTATTTTTTTTTTATTTTTTTTATTTTTTTTGTTTTTATATTTTGGCCAAAATTGTTAAGCTGAAGAAAAATAATCATTTGATTTCATTGGTATCTGGCTTAGTAAACCAATATAATTTAGGAAGAGATTTACATAAATACTGGAGTTCATTCTAAAAAAAAGTAAAATATTTCACGATACGAATACAGCTCGAAAATTCTGGAGTTAAATGGATTAACTTGGACAGTTATAATTTTCCTTTGACTAAAGTTTAAAAAAAATAGAATACAATACACCCCAAATTTCATAGTATTTTATAAAATAATTTATTTATTAAAAATTTTTGTAATTAATTTAATTTATTTTTGAATTTCACTTATAAGAAGACATGCTGAAATAAAATATTTATAAACGTTCATAAAGACGACTATTTCAATAATATTAATGTTTAGATATCAAAATTAGCCTTTAATTGCATGATTCAACAACTAATTTTAATTTATCATAATAATTATATGAAATAAATTTAACAAATCTAAATATTATGAAATAACTGATATAACCTAATTCCATTACAAATAAAATTATAAAAGACTTGCACTATTATTCTCAACAGTTATATGTTAATTTACTTCATCGAAATAACTATTTACATTATTATATTATATTACTAATCGGTATGCAAACATAATACAAATGTACATCGTTTAAATCATTTTTGAGAAAATAGTAATTCGCATTATTTGCTTAAATTTAAAATATATAAGTTCTACATTATTTAACATTTTATTTAAATTACAACAAATTAATAAATTTAAATTTGTAAATTACTGACTATTTTTAATATTAAAAAAAACAATTTAAAAAGGATAAATATTCATGTTTTGGGTTTATTAACGTTTAACGAATTATTTCTAAAAGTATATTATTATATGTTTTTGATGATTTTTTCGATAAATAGTTTTAATTTACTCAATTAATGATTTTACAAAAATTAAAATACTATTAAATGTATTTAAATAATGTTAAATATAAATTTTTGAAAGTTATAATTTTTATTCTGAACATTTTAGTTAGTTTGATGATATTTATAGTTATTGTTTTGAGTGCCGCCTATGCACAAAACTATTTGAACTTAAATTACAATTAAAATTAGTCCAACAGTCATAATTAAACCTAATATTTTAACTAAAAAGCACTAACATTTCATGAATATTATAAGAAACTGAATTGTACTTAACATCGTTTTTTTTGTCTATGATAATTTTTTGTCATTTATTTGTATTTCAAAATTACTACTTATCTCGGACTCCGGTGACCAACTAAACTTAATGATTTGTCTGAAAAGAGTTTAAAAAAATGCTGGAAAATTTAAGATGCAGTCAACTTATTTACCGGTATGAATAGAAAGCTTTCAATGATATACGACTTAAATTAACAGTAGTCAAATGATAAAAAGTAATCACAAGATCATACCTTTCATTGATTATTTAACTAAAAATTATCTAATAATAGTTTATTACGGTTAAAATCATATTTTAAATATATAACTTAATGTTTATTACATAAACAATATTATTAATTACACGGTAATATATAAAACAAAATGTTTATTTATTTTAGTAGGTAAGTTCTATGTACTGATATATCCCGACAAATAAAAACTAAAAAACTAACATTTTGGATGCGTGTCAAATAATTTTTTTTTGGCTTACTCAAAGTTTGCGTGACCATATTACTTGAATGTAGCGTGACCACACCCAATAATTCTCTCAGGATGTTTGTGCCGCTTGGACTAAGGTGCTTTTCGAAAATAAACCCATTAGGATTTACTGATATATATACTCGTATAACATTATCATTAGTCACTTTATGGTTATTCAACACCCGATAACAAAAGAAGCTTCTATTAACAATTTTTTTCTCTTAATATTAAATTAAATTTTAATTTATTTAATTTTTAATTTTAATATCGACATTAATAATTTCTGCTTGGTAACGTTACAATTAAATTAATTAACACTCAAGTATTGAAAAAATTCAATAGTAATAAATAATCATCAAATTTAAAATAAAAAAAGGATTAGGAAAACATGATATACATTTATGAAATTATTATAATTAATTATTTGTTTTCATTTTTAACTGACTTAGCCTATTAAATTATTTTCACTTGAATGACATTTTTTTTAATCATTTAAGTTTATTTTTTTTAAGAATTTAAGTTATTTAAGAATCATAATTCCAGTTATATATTTCTTCAATTAAACTCACGAAAATTAAAACATTTTTAAAAATGTATAAATATTAAATACCCTTTTCAATATAAAATTATGTTTATAGTGAAATTTAAAACTTCTTTTATAAAGCTTTTAATTTTTATCGTTTATTACAAAGCATTAAAACATGTATTTACTTTTAGATATTAATAAAATTGTCAAAAATAAATAATCGTAAATAAAAAATTCAACTGACAAAGTAAAATAAAAAAAACAATTTTTTTTTTTATTAATTTATCAGATTTTTATAAATTTTAAATAATTATTATTGATTTTTGTTTCCATGAAAAATTTTTATGTTATAATTTATGTTAAAAAAGAGCTGTTTATTTGAATAGAATGTTTTTTTTGTATAATGGTTGTTAATTTTACTTATTTTATTTATGCAGTATAAAATAAAAATTAATTATAATCATTGTTCTTAATATATTAGATTAAATTATTATATTTTATTAAATTGAGACTTGATAAAAAGTGAGTTAATTGATATTTAATGTTAAGTTATTTATGTAAATATGTATTAAATGTACTAATGTAATATATGTAATAATCTAAAAATTGAAAAATTGAAAAATTTTTATGATAAGAATTAAAAAAAAAATTATAAATAGTTAAAATATTTAAATTATAATACTTTTACACAATTTGTTTTTCTTAAATTTGATCATGTGGTTAAATATTAACTACTTAGTGCTTACATTTTTTCTATATATTAATTATAATTTTTTATTTTCTTATTAGCTAATCCAATTAGATACCCAAGATTCAACGGGCGTAGTTGGTTGGCATTCCCACCGCTTCGGGGAGCCTACAAACACGTACAAATAAGTTTAGAATTTCGGCCAGAGAGTTGGGACGGTATATTGTTTTTAGCTGCTGAAAGAGATGATTTAGTTGGAGATTTCATGGCTATTTTACTTCACAATGGCTTTTTGGAATTTCGGTAATTCAAACTAAAGCCAATCAGAATGTATTGTTATAACACAGTGATAAAATATGTTTGTATATAGATTCGATTGTGGATCTGGCTTGGGAGTAGTTAAATCTGAAGAAACTGTAGTTCTAAATCAATGGAACACACTATCCGTATACAGACACAGGTGGGATGCGTGGATTCAATTAAACCGTGGAAAACGTATTTCTGGAAGATCAAAAGTAAGTAAATTTTAGAAGCTATACATTCGATAAGCCATAAAATAATTGAATAACACTTGATTACCTAAACAATGTGTAAATTTATTAAAGTTAGAACTATTCTAAATAAAAAAATTAGTATTTCATAGAATTATCTTAATTTACTCATGTAAATACTTAAAGTATAATCAATATAATGGAATTAAAAGACATAAATAATCATAATGACTTTACTAAACTTTTAATTTACATTTTTTTATATATATATTTTTTTTTTATTAATTGATCATCATAAATTATATAATACATACAATAAAATTTCATTAATTATATTTATGTATTTCTATAGTTTGTGTTGAAATAGAGAATAATACAAATTGAAAAAAGATTTATGATTAATAAAATATACAAAAATTTAAACATTAAGGTTATTAGGATTTTTAGTGCACAGTTTCACAATATATAATTTTAGATTATAAATAAAATTATATTTACACTAAAAATAAAATTGAATATAATACACATATGTAAACAAATGGAAAGAATAAATTCAATTATACTAGTTGTGAAAACAACCAGTGGTGTATAATTTTTTAAGATTAATTTTGACACATTAAACGTTTTATTTCTTTATGAAGATGGCATAGTCTGCATGGCATAATATGGCATAGAGTTGAAATAAACTGGCCTGAAATAATTAACAAAATATTGCCCAAATTATTTTTGTGTGTATTTTACTGGAATATTATAAAGTCTGCATTCACTTTTACCTTCATACATTTTTTTATTTACACCTTTGATGACACTCTTAAGAATGAACATAATTTTTACTCTTCTGTAAATTAACTTAATTGTTAGAATACTCAGAACCCTGTAGTTTTCCTTCGTAGATCCTTCTAAAGAAGTCTTGTTTAGATAGATTCTTAAAATGTTATTTTGGTTAGCCCGCAATCTGTGTATAGTACTGTCGCCTAGTCCACCTCAGACTAACAGGTCATATTGCAAGGTTAATGTGACTAATGTAACGCAAAATAAATAACATGCGTCATAAGTATAAATACTAAGCCCCTTAATTTTTGATACTTATAGATGATTACGAGTAGCTTTCCAACTAGATTTTGTGAATGCAGATTCCACCTTAAATTATTATCGAATATGATACCTAGGTAATGGGTTCTTGTTACTTCATTTGTAAGAATACATTTTGTAAGTTGTTACAACTGTTCCCGCCAATACATCTATGTTTTATTAATTGATTTAAGGCTAAGCATGTTTTATTTATGGAGAAAGTCATAAACAATGTTTTTTCTCATTCAGAGTTACATGTCTGTCACGTTGGAATTGGTAAACTTTGTTAATACCAACATTTGGTTTATGATTTACTTCTTCCCAAAACTTGTCGGAAAAAATTAAGCAGGTATTATCAGCATAAGTTACAATTAGCCCATCTAGGTTTAAATCACTGATCAAGTTAATGTATTATAAGAATAAGATTAGGCTTAATAATACACTTCTTTGAAGGACACCGTATTCATTTATACCTTACTGGCCAATATATTTTCAATCTTAAGAATTTGTAAAAAATAGCTTTTAAACCATGATAAACTAATTTTATCAATTTCAAAATACGGTAGGATTTTAAGCAAAATTTTGTAGTTTGCCGTACAGAAAGCTTTGGCTAAGTCCACGAACACATCAAAGACCTTATTATTGTTGTCTAGTTCATTATAAATAATTTCAGTCATGCTAAATTAGGCTTTTTCGATGCTTATATCGGGTTTAAAAGCAAATTAGTTTTTGTAAAGAAGTTTGTACTTTTTAAGAAATGATATGAGTCTCTTTTTAATTATTTTCTCGAATATATTAGTGAAATTACTCAACAAGGATATTGGCTTATAATTATTAACTTGTTTGTTATCCCCTATTTTGGAAATCGGTTTGATTGCAGCTAATTTAAGAAAATTTAGAAAAATACTTTGCTGTATTTTCAGTTTATAGATGTGCACTAAAGAATTTTTAATAAAGTCAATTACATATTTCAATAAATTATATATCATCCTATCATAATCTGGAGCATATTAATTAATTGAGTAATTTATATTAAAATATTAGCAGAACCCTTAGAATTTATGCTTTTATGCAGTATTTTGAATATAAATATTTTATATTCTGTGTATTCCAAAAGTAAATGATAAAATAATATAAATTATATTTCAAATTGGTAGTACTATTTATTTTATATATAATATAATTAATTTTAAGGATTCCGAGGTTTTCAATATTATTATTTTTTTTATAATTGTTTTTTTTTTTTTTTTTTAAATCGATTTTTTAATGAACAAAAAATATTTTATTCTTTACTGACAGGGCTTATTCTCGCGAATCACGTTTCGAGAGCCCGTCTTTATTGGTGGTCGCGGGAATACGTCTGGGTTGGCTGAACGCTTCCCAACAGACCGTGGATTTGTCGGTTGCGTTCGACTGTTACAAGCCAATGATCATAGATACGACTTTGGGGAAACACCTGCTGGTGATACGGTCAAATCCCAAGGAGTTGGTAAGTGTTCATATCACATATTGAGTTTATAGTAAAATGTAATAAACAGTTTTAGTAAAATTAAATATAAAATGAATTGGTATAATCATCAAAAAAATGTATTTAGTTGCGTTAAAAGACACAGTTTTTGATATTCAAAACGATGCTTGAAAATGTGTCAAAACTTTAAAAATTTGACGACAAGAAAAAAATATAAAATGCATTCTTTTAGTAGTTTGAAATATAAATAAAGAAAATTATAACGGGGAAAGATCCTCAACTAAACTTTGAACAAACTGCCAAAACTGTTTAATTTGTGGACAGCGATAAGTTTTCATTTTCCTTAATCTACGTCTTCTTGTTTACTAACTTCACAAATTATACCAGATAAAACATATGGGTTACTTGGTGTTGTCATTAATTATTTTTGTTTATAATTTGTATAAAAATTTCGTAGCTTATAATTTTTTAAATTCCACTTAAAAAAAAAAGAAGTATGTATGACAATCTCTAATCCTTTATCTAATTATAATTTAAGTAATACATTTAATAATTTCTAAACAATTAATTTACTATAATTGTTGATTAATTAAATTTAACATTTTAACCACCTGAAGTATGTAAAATTTGGAATTATCTTAAGTAAAGTAACAAGATTTTTATTCACTATTTTATTTTAGTTTCTATTTGTATGTTATTAAATTCAATTTTTAATTAAATTATAGAGATAAAAGAAACTATAACTTAATAAAATTGTGTCAATCAAGCCTGTTTTTTGTTAACCCATTAAAAAAGAAAAACTGTTATATTAATTAATTATAAATAATGTGTTAGATTAAAGTTTTTATCTTCAATCACATTTCACTAATTATAAACTATATGTATGTATCCATGATAAGTGTTTATAAGATGACTAATCTGTTAAATGATCTTGTCCTTTTAGTAAATGAATTTCTGAGTTCTAATAAAATAACTAAAATTAATTATGTTAAAAATAAGCTAAAGCACTCTTTTAGTATTTTTTTCAGCTGTATAAAAAGAAGCTCATTTTGACATTCTTTCTTTGATTTCAAATGAGTTAGTAAGTATAATTAATTAATATAGGGTAAAATTCAATTTGAGTACTTTTTAAATAATATCAACAAAAAATACATAAAATGGATATTAACAAAAATAATAATAATAATAATAAAAAGAAAATCATCATTCTTAAATCAATACATCTTTGCTCTTTAGTTTGCTTAATATATAATAACAATGTATCATACTATATAATAGTCAACTTGCTTAAATCAATGTATACTATTAGATTAATATAAGAGAAAATTAATTATCTATATTACCTAATTAAATTTAAATATGTATACTAATATTAATGAAAACTGAAAAAATTTATAAACATTATTAGTTTATTAAATGTATAATAGTTGTATACTGCTTATTAAAAAATCGTAAATGTATACAAATTTAAAAAGTAGAAAGAGTCTTAGATTATGATTTTTTTTTTTATTACTTTAAGCGTAAACTATTTTCATAATACCATAATGATCTATAAATACATTTTTTTGAAATTCTAAATAAAGACTAATAAAGATAGAAATAAAAGTTTAATCACAAACGATGAACAAAACATGATTAGGGCAAATGGCGTATAATACGTGTTTATTAGTATACATAATTAATATTAAAATAAAACAGCAATAGGATAGGGGAAAAAGTGGCTCAAAAACATTGAGTAAACACTAGAGAGAAGCTTTTGAGGTTAAAGTTGAAGAGAGGCTTATGGTTCCATCCTTCTCTTAATACACCAGTGTTAATTAATTTTCTAGACACTAATGTCGTTGTCGTTCATCGGTGGTTTGTGTTATATTATTAATTTAATTGGCCAGGAGTCAAGCTAGAGAACGCAAAAAAATACTCCTTTATTGTATATACATTTTGTTTAAATTTAAGTAATATTTACTGTTTCCTATTTAAAATATTCAAAAACAACTGACGTATTCAATAAGTTCGTTTATCTTTGTAAATTCTAAAATTAAATTGTACCGTGTAATTTTAAAAAAATGTACTTTTTTTTCTTTTTCAAGTAAAATAAATACATTTACATACTACTTAAAATCAAAGCTATTATTTTTTAAAAAAATCATATTATTAGGCTAGAGTTATTTTCCTTTAAAAATGTATTACCATTTTTTCCACTTATCGGTTACCATAATATATGCACTTCTTTTCTACACGTTTTTTTTATTTATATGTTATTTTTTTCGATAAATGCATTTTAATTAAAATTCAATTCCAATTTTTACTTTGTTATTCATTTTTTTTTTAATTTATCAATTGCATCGTCAATTTGTTTAAATCTTATATTTACTTGATTGTTTTTTTGACATTTTTGGAGTATAAAGGGGTTTAGAAATGGGTTAAGAATTGTAAGTTTAATTTTTTCAATCTTTAACTAGATCAAGCTGAATTTTTCGATACCATGATTGTAAAATCTGCAACCAAGAGTACTGGATCATACTTAAGAAACAACTTCGTATATAGCTTGCTCAAAATCAATTGTTATTGTAGTAGAATTAAAATAAAAATTTAAATATAATTATATGATTCGATATATTTACATATGTATCAATTGCAATGCTATAACTAGACCACTCAAAGCCCCTAATCATCAAACGCTTCTGAGTATTTGACCTTTTGAGGTCCCATAATAAATAGTTCGAGGTTCGGGGCCTGTGTGTAATGCACCCTCTGCACAACTGATTTTACAACACTGATTGATTGATTTGTTAGTGAGGAAACAAATAGCTGTTAGTATATAATTTCTATATTTGAATACATGTATTATAAACATTTAAGTAAAATGTTTGACACATTAATTAGAAATTCCATCTGCATAAATCTCATCAAAATTACACAAAAAATTTGAATTTTTATATCAGAAAAATATTAACATTATTTTTTCTATCATTAATGAGTAAAATATTTTCATCGAAAGATGTTTTAATTTTTAATTGATCTAAATGTATTTCGTTAATACTTGTTGGTATACCTATTCAGTAACAAAGTTCTCAGTCGCATAAAATTTTTTCAGAATTTCAATCATAACGGTGATATTGAAATTAGAACTGTGAGCAGAACTCTGTGGGTGTTCATTAAGGATGATTTTTTTTTTGGTTTTGAGAATAAATCGTCCATTGCTTTTTGCTTACATGCATGAGTAATGCATGTAAAATGCCGATTAGATTTTTTTGGTGATGTCAAATAGTTATGAATATTTTTCTCCAGTTTGTCAGAAACTACATGATTGGTTTTATTTGTATATATAACAGCTTGAGATGACGTCTGAGATGGGGAATTATAGTGAAGAATGATGTGAAAGAGTTAGGAGGAGGTGTAGACTAGAGAATACAGGCATCAGATGGAGATAATTGAAGACAAGGATGTATGTGGGGATAGTCCTAGTGAACGAGTTTACCGAAGAAGAATATAACAGCTTAACATTGGTTAAAGAAAATTGTCATCGACATATTACAGAATTCAGATTACTTGGTTTCTAAGCCAAATAATATTTGTTATATTCACGAACTATTAATGGTTTTCTACGAGAGTTATCCATAAATACAGCTTTTTTGAACATTTTAAAATAAAAAAACACAACTTTAAACAAAAAATTCAAAAAAATTTGTCATGATGGTCACCGACTGACATACGGTACGCTATTAATAATAATATATAAAAGTTGCCCTGATTTTAAGGTATGCATTTAATTTAATGTAACATACCTATCAATATTCCATAATTATATTTTATATTATCATAAAATTACATTTATAAGCTGAAATAAAAACAATAATCGATAACATTAAAAATATAGCATTAAGCTGCAGTAAAATAATGATATCTGTTATCTGATATACGTAATTAATTAGTATTCTATCGGTTCCAACATACATAATGGCTCATAATAACGATTATACTGTATATTTTTATTCCGTACATTACTATTTTATAAAATATTGTTTGATTTTTTACATAGTTGATTTTTTTTCATATAATAGAGCCAAGTGTGAAAAATTAACTATTATTTTATAATGAATAAACTAGTACCAAAAGAAACGTTAAAACTAATATAATAATACAATATACTCTTCGGCCCACGAGCCAAGAGAATGCAAGTTGCAGAGTAAAATAATTTTACCGTTCTACTACAGCACTAACAACCCACTACTATCAACTAGTATCATTCATAGTTTTATTTCCTAAATGTTAAATTATCATTGAAAAAATATTTGGAAGAAAATTTACAGTAAAGAAGATGATATTTATTTATTTATTTATGGAATAAAAAAGATTTTTTTTTTAAGAAAATGGCCCACTTTTTATATTATATAGAGTATAATATACACCATTATTTTACTGTAATATTCATCTAAAATAATCGATTGAATAGGTGTAGATGTATATTATACTTAATAGGTATGTAAATATTTTATATTCTTATTTTATTTCAATATATGCAGTATTCTACCTTACTAGAAATGGATAGTTATAGTGAATAAATGTTATTATACATTAGTTATACACTATAGTGGTTGATGAATGATTTATTTTACATATTAAATGCTTAACATAAAAAGTTTAAACCTAGTTATATTAGAAAAAAATAATTTATTCAATATTAAAAATATATTTTTAAATAAATATACTTAAAAATAATTATAATAACTTTAAATTGATTAGTTTTTAATTTATATATAATATATATATTACACATTTAACTATAATATAATTTATCTAATTAAAGTGTTGACATAAATAATAAATTAAGCTTACACTTAGTATCTTAAATTCATAATTTTCATTTTAATAAAATATATTATTTAAATTTTTTATGAAAAAATAGTAGCAACCTAAATTCATAAACTTTAGTTTTGTAAATTGTTTATTTATATTTTGTTTGTATATAAAAAGATATAAAATTTTTTGGCTTTCGTACCAATAATTTTTTGATAATTTTTAATATAATCATTATATTTAACAATATATTAAGTCTATTTTTTAATTTAAAATTTTTATACAAAATATGTCTGATTGAAATCAATCAAAGAACTTGTAAGAAATACGATTGCTATATTGTACACTTAATATGATGACATTGAAGTATTAGTTTTTGGTACAAAAAAATACCCTTGTTCTTATAATTCATCTTTGATAAATGTCATTCTAGTTATGTAAATGAAAGAAACGCTTTAAGGATTTTTTTTCTATTAAATAAACAAATCAATATTCAATAATTATTTTTTTATAAAATATAAATTTTAGTTATTATATAAGGTACAGCTAAAAATAATCTACATATCGTTTTTCTTTTCTACAGAGGAATGCTCTACAGATAAATGCACACGATCTCCTTGTCAACATGGTGGCAAGTGTGTAACGACATCTAACTCGTCTCTTTGTCTATGTCCACTTGGTTATACAGGGGATTTATGTGAAACAAAACTGGACTTACAGGTAATTAATTAATCAGAGTATTAATTCATTTTTATGAAAATAAGTAAGAGAATTATTTTATTATTTTTTCATTTCTAATGGGCATACAAATATATTTATTGAAATATAAGTAGTTATGAATATTAAGTTATACTTTTTAAAATCAGTTGTTAGTTTTTCAATAAAAAAAAAATATTAGAAATAATAATTATTTTATTGATTCATACAATTCAAATAAAATAATTTTAAGTCATACATTTTAAGTATATGCTCATATAATTAAAATTAAAATTAAGTAAAGTACTTTGTAAATAATTTTTAAAACAACATTTATAAACTTCTAATAAACGGCAGAATTGTTATTATATTTTAAATAAAAATATATGTATTATTTATTTCAGATATTATTATTATTTATATATCAATAAACAAATTTATCATACTGGATACGTTTCAATTCATTATTTTATTCATTTATTCAGAGATGTTAATTGAATATTATAAAATATAAAGCAATTTTAAAGTATAAAAAATTCAAATTTTTATCGAGTTAGTACAAAAAGCTGAATGTTGTACAATTTAATATAAATTAAATACATATTATAGAACTCATATATGTTCTACTTTCTACATATTTGCTAAGACTAATTATTCAAAAATAAAAAGCTCAAAACTCAAAAACTTAGTTTAAAGATTTATGATTTAACTTTTAAGATGTCAAAAAGTTTTTTGAAAATGTATTTGTTATTTAAGAGATAACTATAAAAATAAGCTATTCGATATGTTTTTATATCCATGTTATAATGCTAAATTATTTTAAATTCAAGAAAAAAATAAACTATAACTAATAAACGTTCTTTCGGTGTAGGTATTTCGTCTGATATTAAAACATCGTTTCTCCTTCAAAATCTATTCTACTGAGAGTAATAACGTAATACTCACTTAAGTGTCTCCTTATAAAGACGGTACACAATTATAAATACCCTGCCTAATAATTGATGATAACCATTGATAAAGACCTCCAACATGCAGCCAAAATTTTATATTTGAAGAAATTATATTAACAATTGATAATTTATTTAAAATTAATGATAATGCTCGAATATATCCTATACATTTTCAATTTAATGTATATCTTATTAATAAGAGTTCTATTAATTTTTTTTTTTCATCGGACTTGTTTCTTTTTCTTATGTAATTAAGTTTTAATTGATATTTTTATTTTATGTAATAATAATTCTTAACATTTCTAGTTTTAATAGCGAAATGCCTAAATTAATTATAATAGTAATATCTAATGCTAAGAATTTTGGTATAAATAATATGTTTCAATTAAATTGTCAAACTACAAATTATAAATATTTTATGCATTTTACAAAAAAGTAATTAAAACCAGCATTATTCAAATAATTTACAGTAATAATATTTATTAAAAAGAAAAAAAATATTGATTTATTCTATTTACTATATTAATTATATTAAAATAGTAGATATAAATTTAATTTTTATTATTATTTTGATCTTAAGAAAAATATTAGACTTACCTAACTAAATAACTAACATTAAAATTTAAAATTTTATGTAAAAGACATGTACATATGGATAATCTTAGATTAGATAAAAAAATATTGTAATTGTGAACTGTAATCTATTGATTATGAAATGCATTTTGAAATAATTTATTTAAAGACAACAAACATTATCCTTGCAATGTAACATAATGATTACTGAATGACTATTAAATTACATTTTTGTCATGTAACAATTCGTGGTGCATACAATGGCTATAATATGATATATATTTTATTCTAATGAGCGATATGTAAAGGGGCTGACTATACCTTAGCACGTAACCCTTGTAAGCTATTACGTAACCAAATTGCCTACCAGAAACGTCGTTGCATGTAAATCTGTACAAAACGTATTATACTATATTACCGTATAAATGCAATCCCGAAATCGCATTTATGCTTCATGAAACTTATATTATTGTAATAAATCCATTTCGTATTATGCTTATTTAGATAAAAATAATAAATTATATAAATCATATTGGTAATGTGTGAGGTATAAAATTTGTCTATTAATATTATTGTTGTTATAAAATTGTTTTAAAGTATATGATTTTTAGTTTCAAAAAAACGAAGAATCGATGCTTTTAAATAATTTTATATTTTTAATCGATGAACTTTTATCAGTTGTACTAAAAAAATTAATTACCATTATTTAAAACGTATTATTATAGATAATTTAAATTTAATTTTTGAAATGAGTAGAAACTCATTTTCTAACTACTATACATTTGAAACATATATCGTATTAAAAAAATATAACCACGTCGCTTTTATTTTTATTAACATTTTTTTTTATAGCATAAGATCAGTGGTGCCCAACCCGCGGCCCGCAGGCCACATGAACCGCTTGAAGATAATTGTTTACCAAAGTGGCCCGCCAAACGAAAAAGGTTGGACATCACTGGTATAGATTCTTAACCTTTTCTGGGCCATAAATCCTTTTAAAGAATAACATATAATTATGGACCCCTCTTCAAAAAAAATAAAAAATAAATAAATAAGTAAAATTTTTATTTTAGTTATTTTTAATAATAAATCTAAAACTTAATACTATATTAAATTATTGTGAATTATCACTTTTCTTTTATTTAAAAACTAGTTTTAATGTGACATTTGCTGTTGTTTTGATTATATTATTGCCTTGAAATCCGGAACCGTTTTGGACAGAGCAACGCGCATATCGTTTTTAATGTCCAATCGATTTCTTACTTTAGTTTTTATTGTGATCATTGTAGAAAATCCAAACTCACAGAGATAAGTAGTATCGAATGGAATCAAACATCACATCCACCCTATGAACTCCCTAGTAATCATCTACGGACCCCAAGGGATCCATGGACCCACGGTTAAGAACTTATGATCTATAAGGGTTTTAATTAATTCGAATTTTTTCTTGAGTAGTTTTCTTTTCGGATGACTTTATCAAGAATAGTGAAATTCATGAATCAATTATTTTAAGCACCAAGTAAACCAAACCATTAAATTATTTTGAAAAAGTTATATACAAATTATAAATCTTTCTTCAAGTTCTATAATAATTTACGAATAATTGTATTTTTTTATAAGTTTAATTTTAAAACTGCAGGTATACTACAATATTAAGTTATTTAATATCAATGAAATTAAAAATATCACATTTATTATCACAATATTTTTGAAAAAAAACAACTAAAAATATTATACTTAATTTAATTGATTAAATTACGTGCTAAATGTTTTTTGTATAAAGTATATCTAATATCTTAATAAATACGTAAAAAACTAAAATATTTATAAACTTAGATATATATTTTCTATACTCTACACATAAACATTGTATAATCTAAATACTATATATTACATAATCCCCATTATAATATCAATAAACATTCAAAATTACAATAAAACGTTAAATTATGATAAAATATTATACTGTTTATAATAGTAATCTTATAATATTATATATTATATAATATATAATATTATAGGTACATCTCAAACCATATACTAAATATTACTAATCTGTTTATCTAAAAATATAATATTTATCTAATTAATATACATAACCACATTATACCGTATATAATTTATTTAAAACGCTTTTTCAAACGCATATTTATATGTGTATTTATATATTTAACGCGTATTTTATAATGAAATATAATATGTTTGTTTGTATACGAAATTAATATATTTTATGTAACTGCTTACGTACCAAGTATCTAAGAAGAACAGTTTTTTATGAACTAACTTTATAATTATCCTACATATTAATTAAATTTATAATAAACGGTTCAGAAAATAACGAGTGATGGAATAAATTCCAAATTATTTCCCGTGATTATTTACTATGGATTCAGATATTAGCCGATTTTAACGTTATACAAAGACAATGGCATAACATTTGATTTATACAAAGTTAAAAGATTACATATTTTTTAAATAAGTTTCCATAGAAAAATGTAATATATTATGAAAAGTAATTTTACATCCCGTCCCATAATAATTATAATACAATAACATATGCAGCTAGTGATATTATATTGGTTTTGATTCCCTTATATAATTCTCACTTTATTTACATAATGTTAAAATGTCGTTAAAAAAAACTTGTTTATCTTCTAAAACAGTAAAAAATGTAATTATGGTGGCCCAGTGCATCATTATAATAATTTGGGAGTGAAGTTTGGCACGACGAAAAAAAAAAAAGGAAAATTGTAAAATGTATTCGATCGTATCTTATTTACTATTGCATCTCGAACCCAGCAGTCGAAATAATATAAATCGTTTTGTTCAGTCGTTTTGAGAAGAACTAAGTGAACCACCTTTTCAAAACATTTGTAGGCATACAAGAGTTCTGTGTGATCTATATTTTATAGTTAGTCAAGACGGATCGGAGTACCGCATCAATAAATCTAACAACAATACCAGATTCAGATTAATGATTTTATTTTATGACACCAGCCGTTTCGACTTTTTAAACAATATCTGTTTATAAGAATAGAATTCGACTGAGTTGAGTTTTATTAAAATTTAATAATAGAAACACAAGAATACAAAAAACTGAGATAGTTTTTTCTGAAAATTAATTGATATTTTCTTAGGAAATATATGACCCATTTTAAATATAAATGACCAACTGGAGGTTTAATTTGAACTTATTAAAATACTACACATATACAATAAATCTTATTTTTTCTATTACTTGATACCATTAACATATTATCGAACTGTGGTAGTATGCGAATGGATTATATTCTAAATTAATTGGATACAATTAAATATTAATTTAAATGCCGTAATAATTATCATTAAGTAACAGTCAAAGAGAAGTATTGGTGGAATCCACAGAGAACCAACTTATAATTAAATTGTATATACTATTACAACTATCAACAAAATTATAGGAAGAAGGTTCCCAACTTTTGAAGAGCATGCCAAGAACAGCTAAAGCGTGACACAATTAGTGAAAAGTATATTAAATTAAAATATATGCTACATCGATTTCAAATTGAATAATTTGTATTTTTTAGATTTTAATGTTATTTTGAATTATAATTATTACTATAAAGTATTTAAATGTTGAATTTAAGGAATCGTAAATTCCAGATTAGCTAGGATACTAACGGCCTCATTACTTATATCCCAGTATCCCAATGAGATTTTTCGGGATGCAAAAATGCCCTAGAACAAAGTTCAAAGCAAAGACAATGCCAGTTTTGATAACAGTTATTTACATTAATATTAATTATATATAATAAACATATTAACAATAACGAAATCAAGGATCTATATGGATCGATACCAATAATGAGAATTATTCTATGGTTGAATGTATTTCCGTTGACATCTCGTGAAATTATTGTTAATGATCATAACTTGGTGAATTCATAGTGCCGGGAGTAATTCGTGTACTAAAAATAAGAAAAACTTTTTTTTTTCTTTTCACGCACTTCGTCAAATTCTTTATTATTTTATTATCATTATTACTATTATTGTGTTATACGTGTTGTAAGGTTTAGACATTTATTCGATTGGACAGCGCGCGTTGTTACCATCAACAACGAGGAAACAAAAACACGAGTTTCAGAGCCCTAAACTATCCAGTCGGATGTTATTTAATGCATGCCTGCGAAAGAGTTGTAATTATTATAATTCTTTATACGTATTTGGTAATTACTCTGTATTTATAAAAATTTCAATGTAAAAATAAACTACTGGCGAATCGCGAAAACAATAGTATGGAAAAGATACAGATTGCAAAACAAGACAATCAACATACGAATATTTTGATCAAGGACAAGGTCAACTAATTGATGAAAACAATTAACCGATGAGGACACGATCAAACAGCATTTATAAGAGCTCCAGTTCAATATCAACTTTTTAGGCATATACAGCCATCCAGTATATACACTCCACTTAAAATTGTTGTTATCATAATTTTAACTGTTGATTTTTCTAAGTGTTAAAATAAATTACCTCTAATACCGTAAAAAGTATTCTTTACAAGTATATTAATTGAACTTATCCCAGTCTTAGCACTTAGCAACTTAACATTATTGAGACACGATACAGAGAGTCGAAAACGAAGGTATCATAAATAAATAACTATAAATAAATATGGGCTGCCACCTAAATGCTCTTCAGGTGCATTTGTTACGCAACGAATTTTCCGTTTAACTCGTGCGGTCGAAGAAACAGAAGCAGCGCATACACTGAGTGATTCATATAACGTGCATGTTAGTCACACAGCTCTTCTGAGTACCTACAGCAAAACCTTTTACGATTGACTGGCTAAATGATTGAATTACGTACGTACCAAACGGACCAATTTGGTTGTGTAACTGGGTGAGTAATAGATTTTTCACCACAAATCATCATTTGAATATAAATCCACTGATATGATAAGGGTTTTTGTTGTTATTATTCTTATCGATGCCGCAATAATCAAGAAAATCTCAATATTATTAAATATTCTAAAATTATTTAAATAAATTAATAATATAAGAATGATAAACAAAAAATAAAAGAAAAAGAAAAAGAGAAACAACAGATCACATTTCAATCAAGATTTGAACGCTGTACTTGTTAGACTACATATTTGGTAGCTGAAATTAAAATTTTTGAATTTCAAGATAATTCAAAACAAGACGGTCTAAGACGGTCCATCTTAGACGGTTATGAAAACACTGGTGCTCTTTTATAGCCGCGGACGAATTCGTGGTTTATGGACTCTGGGTGTACAATGATTGTTATCATTTCAAATCACCCCAAGTCAAACACACGACCGTTTTGAGTTAAATTAATAGATTTCTTCTGCGGTTGACACATTTCCCGGCGTACCTACGTTGCATAACAAACAGAGACTCCCCCAACTTGACCTAATCATGTTGCTACACACTTGTCCTGATAATTATTCATTTTTCAGTCGTTGTTAAATCGCCTTTACCGTTTTAAAATTTGTAATATTATATTGTAAATCATGTGATGACCACAAATAGTCGCCGATTGCGAAGCGAAACCGAGGGATTTTTTTAATATTATATTATGTAACACTTTTACTATATTTTTTAATTTATTTATATTCTAATTGCGTACCCTGCACAAATCATGATACGGTATTATGAAACAAATAGAAAGGCAGAACACTCGAATTGTTTGTTTTTTGTGTGTGTGCGAGTGTTTATAAAAATAAATAATACAACGTAAGCCTTGGTAATAATAAGAACATAAATTTCAATTCGAAGAAAAGTAGGTGCACCAGTATATTTACACGCCATCTGTATGGCAAATATTTTTGCTATTAATTTTCGTCCAGTCATATAAGACCTCGCACTGTTTGCTACATTCCAGTTCAGTAATAATAATAGTATTGAACGGGAAGCAAATAAAGTTTACTCGCTCAGAAGTTATGTGATAAGAAATATTAATATCTTGATAAATTCCCCGGAATCGTATAATCAAGTTTTCAATCCGATCGGGTAAATTAAAATTGGTAATTAAAATTTGATTTATTATGACCGTTCGTAATTTGTATATTGAAAATGTTATATTATAAAACGATATTTTTACAGATAAAATATTAATGAGATATTAATTAAGAAAAAAAAACCTGCCGTAGCTTAGACAATAACTGTTTTTAGCATTATTATATAATCATAACTCTTTAGTTTATCCTTTTGATTACTATACCCGAATAACCGGGATCGCTTAGAATTTAATTGTTAGTTACTCATTTTCATCATCTCTTACTTTAAAACTAATAGAGTTGATTAAAATATTATCTATCCTGTTATAAAATAATCGTGTAGAAGAATATTTAAAAAAATACCTAAAACTTATGTAACTTTATATGGGTAGAAAAGTTTGAAAAAAAATTCCGTTTTAATTAGCCTTAGCATTTTTACGAACCTTCTATAAATTAATTTAATAGTTTTCCTTCTAAGTAAATTTTAGATTTCGGAGTTAATAATAATATATAATGGATCATAGTATTTGTCTTTCTTTGGTGCAAATTATTTTTGAAGTTTTAATTCAACTTATTTCATATATTTAAAAGAAAAACATAAAAAAAAAAAAAATGCTACGACATAATGGTAAATGTTGACGTAAAAAAAAAACTACGGTTATTTTAGTCTATATTTTTCTATCTACGCAGTTATGGCTTAGAGCTCAGAAAAAGTTAGTTAAAGTATAATACATAATAATATTTAATAATATAATGGTACATATTTTATAAAATAAAAACTAAAAAATTATTTGTTTTGGTGTTGTTTCAGGTTCCTTCATTTAACGGATCCAGTTATCTGAGGCATCCTGCTCTGGTTGATTCAGCTCTATCGTGGTTAGATTTGGACATTGTTTTTAAAACCCAGTCTACGGACGGGCTGATACTTTATGAAGGATACCAAAAGTATGGCTCAGCTGATTTTATAAGTGTGTATATGATCGATGGCCACGTTGAGTTTACATTTGATTTAGGCACAGGCACAGCATCGTTGAGGTATATAATAAAATTACATTAAATTAATTTAAAAAAAAAAAATGTTTTTACCATAATGTAGGTTAGGTAGTAAATCGCCAAATCTTTGCTGAAGAAATTTAACCTTTTTGAATGTACCTTTCTTTGTGCGATTCTCGATAGTAAGATATACAATATGACTCATCTGGTATATCTTTACCACTCGAAAAAGACTTTTCAAAAGAAAAAAAATTATTGTAAAATCAATAAATTTCTCACATTGTTCAGAATCTAAAATTTGATTGCTTTATCTAGTTATAAAAACCAATGTTGACTGACATACATTTTGAACTATTTAAATGACTATTGGAAACAATATTTTAAACAAAAATAGTAATTCTTTAATTATGCATTTCAATGTGAACATAATACTCATATATACATGTCACCTGTGAAATATTTATTGTAACTTCATTACAGTACGACATGGATATCATACTAAAATTTATCTAGTGTAAATTTACAATAATTTATGTCATCTTATATATCGTTGATTATTTATAAACGGTGCTATGCCCCATTGAATGTCATTTATTCTATAACAGACGCATACTCATACAACCAAAATATTTAGTTATTTATGGTTTATCAAAAGACAGAGGGTAGATATTATTTATAGACGTGACTGCAGTATACATATTTTTCATCTAAATCATGAATAGTGTTGTAAGTCATAAAATAATTTTCAATCGACCATAATTCAACGCTGAAGTATAATGTATATGAGTAATGTATATAATAATACCAAGAAACTAGCTCATTGAATATGATATTCATCTATGCTGCTCAATATACTGTTACATAACTAAATGAAACCTCAAATAATATCAAAAATAACTAAAAGTAGTAGGCGCGTAGCTATGTATTTTAAAAGGGGGGTATTGTTGAAAATTAATCGAAAAAATTATATACAATAAAATAATAACTTTACGTATACTTTATTGTACAAGCATATAAATACATTAGCATATTATACATTAATATCTATTCATTTGTAATATATTAATGTATAAAAAAGTGTTTAAATAATTTATTAAAATTTCAAATGAACATTTTGTCTCTTCTATTTTTTTTAAATCGTGTATGAAACGACACAAAATCACGGCTTTAGATTATTAGATAAAATAGTGTAATGAGAAACCGAGTCCTGGCATTACGTTGTTGTTATCGTAATATGCATATATATATTTCTTTATGATAAATTTATGTTTATCAAGGTTTATGCTAAATTTTTAACTTTATAAGACTTAAGTATAACATGGTCAAGGGGGAGGGTATAACTACACTTATAACACCCCTCCTAACTACGCATCTGTACAGTAGTACTAGGCACATGCATTAAAATTAGTTTATAATTTGACTATTTTTTTTATAAGTATATTACGAAGTAATTCTTCAATAAATTCAAGAAAAAAAGACTCAGTCTTTAAATATTCTTTCTCTATTTTAAAATCAATCATTATAATTATGGTATACTTTTTAAGCTAGTTTTGATGTTTTTTTTTTTTGTAAAACCTATATACTTATGTTATAGTTGGTTCTTCAAAGCATTAGTTTTATGTGAGATATGAGTATTTACCTACAGCTTAGTCTTTAGTAATGTTTATTTATGCATATATTTTGTTGGGTAACTAACCACCCAGCTTTAAACCCATAAACTGTAGTAACATAAACAATATTACCCGCTCATTGTTCTATACACAAACAACCTTAATTATTTCCGGTTTCAGCATTGATTCATGTTACATTTTCTATATTACATGATTTGTGTAGTTCCTATTTACTATCATAATTTACATATGCTGATTTTTACGTTTATAAATAGTATTATTCGATATTTTCTGGTAATATTTCATTTTCACAAATTTTATCTTTTACTAGCTGTAACATACCATACGAAATAGCCTCATGGTGAGCCTATAAATACAATATTTAAAATTTGAATGCATAATGGATATTTATTATCAAATACGCCCAATTCATGTTGCCAATATTATACTTGATGTAGGGAATCTAATTGATTAAAGAGTAGTATTTGTAGTTTCATTTTGTACTGGTGACTCTAATTTTGATCTGAAACACAAAATAAAACAACCGCCAACGTAGTATGAGATATAAAAACGTTATATGATGTTAGGTTTCATTTTATATGAAAATAAATCTTCATAAATAATCCTAAACATTATTATTTATTTTAATAGGAGTCCGTGGGCAGTTTCTTTGGACGAATGGCATCGATTATGGATATCGCGAACAGGAAAACTAGCAGTTATGCGTGTAGACAATCAACCAGAAATTCAAGTAAGATAATTCTGGAAGTTTCAAAACATACATTGTACGATTATTAAAAATAAATGCCAACTACTAAAAAATGAGAATGTCGTGTAACGAGCTAAACTGAAGTTTAGCACTTAACGATAAGTGTTTTCAAATTCAATAGCTCACGGTGTTTGTATACTCGAAAAGTAATTTATTTTTATTATTCGACAAAGCTATGTGCATGTATAAAAAAAATTATGCCATCACCCTGTGTGTACTTTACTTCATACAATATTAAAGCAATCAAATAATAAAAGTAGAAAAAGATTATATAAATCTATGTAAATTATTTTTTGTACACAATTTAATTTGATTGATGTATTTCAATTTCTTTCAACATAAATACATACAATTTTTTTTTTGACAAATGAAAAAACTAAATGTTATATAGATATAATATTATATATAAATAATATAATATATATAATATAATAATAATATATATATATATATAATCAAATTATAATAACTAGTATTATTGATTATCAATTTAAACCAGATAATGTCGCCGGGAGCGTTCACACAGCTGTCATTACCGTTGAGTATGTATATTGGAGGTGTACCTGACTTCGATACTGTGCCGATACAAATCAAAGTTCGAACATCATTCAAAGGGTGTATACAAAAAGTTTGTATATTTTCAATAATATTAGAATAACTCGTAAACAATATGAATAATACTCACAGATTAGTCTATTGTGAAAATAATAATTTAAAATAATGCATCTATAATGAATTTAAAATTATAATCCTAATTTATCTCATATTTCAATTAAAAATATTTAAAACTCCTCCAAAAAATGTAAGTAACACTAGTAACTATGTAAATTTATTATAATCGTATAACTTTATTTGCTTTAAGAAAGACCAGTTACGTTATAATATTTTCTATTTTTAATAAAGATTTTTTGATAACTGCTAGTACGTGTCGTCTACTTCATAAAACTCTTTTATAAAGTACTTTATTGTTTTATGTAATAATATAGTCAACATCGATACACTTCAAAATAAAAATCTTAATTACCCATTGATAACAAGTCTTCATATATAATATATATATATATATAGTTGCGTAAAATAAATAATTTCGTTGGGATCTCAGAGGGATAATAAACTAGCGTAATATAATAAATATTAACCCAAAACATCTGTACACACAATCGGGTTGTGTAAAATAAACGAATTTTGTACGAAAAATAAATTGTGTATGGGAGGGAAGGTGAGTGCCCATATTATTATCATTATTAGAGTCACAAACGTGAACTCGTCGTTGACGTAATACGGTGGTGACTCATAACCATCAAATCAATCACGTCGCCGTTGTCATTCGTATCAATGTTAATATTTTAATGGTTCAACAACTATTGAAAAAATAAATATTTGACAAAACGTACACGGATCATGGTCGTTACATCGAACATCGCATTCGTTTAAAATATTTTATCAACAACACGTGAACAGAACAAAAAAAAAAAATAATTATAATGCGTTTTCGTCTTCCTTGCTTGTTAATTACTACTTGTCCGTATCTCCCGGATTCCGGAATCGCTGACCAACTCCCTTGTTCGCGTACGCTTGTCGCGCAGGAGCCTACATTAATACTGTACGATTCAATGCAAGTATTTATATCGCCTTTGCACGTAGATAACGATCAACGAGAAACCATTGGAAATAGTACGAGGCGCGCTGTCCGGTGCGAACGTGGCCAACTGTCCTCACCCGTGCGTGGCCAAGCCGTGCGGCGACGGCGTCCAATGCATACCGATCTTCGACAAGTACAAGTGCGTGTGTGACAAACACTGTAACTCGTCCGACGGCGATCAAGTGTCGTTCGACGGAACGTCATTCGTGCATTACATAGGACACGAAGTACACAAAAGGTATTTACGTCTACGGCGTGGTTAACATAAAAATCCCGTACCTTGCCAGATTGTGTCCCTTCACCCGCCCGCATGCCAGAGCACTAAATCGTATTCGAAGATCGATAAAATATTTCCAATCGCGTGTGCCCGGGCAAGCTTGCTCACTAGTAGTCGGTAACACGAGGTCTTAGCGAACACGTATTTCGTTCGAAAAATCTCAAATAGTCCTTTATCAGAAAAAAAAACAATAAGATAATCAGTGTATTGTTCCGGTGTTCAAATGCTATGCCGGTCGTACGCGTTACACCACAGTGCTCTTATTGTCTCTCGGTACTTGGACAATCATTTTTACTTGTCTCGGTTAATTGTCCAAAACGCGCGGTACGTACTCGAGCGTACGCATTACATCTTATATTCGATAAAATGCATAAATGAGAATATTAGAATTCATAACTATTCACGATATACGAACAAATATATTTTCATTACGTTCTTTTCGAACAATAATATTGTAATCATGCTTAATGCTTTATTTCTTAACCCTTTTTCTAGTTCACTTATCTCTTAAAGATATAAAATATATATATATATGAATCTCGTTCCCTAAAAAGAATTCTTTATATTGGTTTTTATTCCATGTTTGAATGTAAATTACAAAAAAAAAAAATGAATTATATTATATAAGTATAAATTACGGATTGTTCTGTGTTATAAATAATTATTTTCTGGTTATTTGAAAACAATATTGTGCAGAGATACTCCGTGGACCCTCGAGTAACCATCAACGGACGCTCTAAGGGTCAATGTTCCACTGGTTATGAAACCTCGACATTAGGCAGCGTTAAGCAGTGTATATAGTTATTGCAGGAATTTTCTGTCTATAATAAAACGATAACTTCAAACTGTATTACACAAACAATCAATCCTGCTTTGATGAAACATACATTGTTATTCTTTTATTTATAAATATCATCATAGTTCATGAGCTAAACAATCGTCGTATGGTTTCGTTGAGTCAAATATCGTGAACAATATAGGAATTTTTCTTTAAACAAAATACTATCGTGAGACATACTTGTAGGTACTCGGTCTTACAAAAACACTATAACTGACTACCAAATAATTCAACATTCACGATAACAAATTAAGTAAAAAATGTTTTTGTTTTTTTTTCTTTTACTACATAAATTCTAATATTCTAGGATCACTGATGGACATTTGGATATCAATATGCGATTCCGGACCACTGCACTGAGCGGACTTATACTCTGGACCGGACGGACGGACAGGTCGGCTGACTATTTAGCTTTAGGATTACAAGATGGCCGTATTGAAGTGACTTACGATTTAGGAAGTGGTGACACAGTGCTTAGATACAATACCACTGGACTACCTATAAACGACGGACATTGGCACAGGATGAGATTTACAAGGTTTGTTGAGTTGCTATCAAACAATTTCAATTATGTTAAAAATACCTCTCGAGAAAACGTCTGCTATATATTGATAGTTAGATAAAATAATTGTATAATAATATTATGCAAAATCAAACAAAAAATTGAATTATAAAATTACGTTTAGCTGAAAACCTCACGTAATTACTATTTACTAAATATCTATTAATTTAAAAAGGTTCAGTGTTAAACAAAAATAAATAATATTTATTTTTTATCAATTAGTATACTGCTATTTTTAATCTTAAATCAAAACTATAATTGAAGAAGTCATTGTAAAATATTGTAAGTCCTTATACAGAACAAATTTATAAAGCATAATTATATATAGTATACACAGTATATACAGCAGTATCTGATAAAATTAGCCACAATATCTTTTCAATTATATAGTAACCTAATTAAAATATCTATCACTCCATGTATGTGCCTGAACAATTTAAATCCATATCTCAACGATGTTTCGTGTTTATAATATTATCATAAATCTTGATATATAAAAAATATTAAAATGATAAATTAAGTGAAAGTATTTTTATTTCCTTAAGTTTTTTAAATATGTGTACACAAATAAAACAAATAAAACTCTATTGAACCAATTGCCAATGTATTTATGTTTGGATTTTCACTTATATGTTAGATATAAACGATTTAATTCAATCTTTTTAGTGCAGTAAAATATGGTACAATAGTAAATGTGGGTTAGAATTTGTTTTACAGAAAATAATTTAAACTTTAAATGAAACATTTTTATTATATCTATAATTATAAAAACATAAATAAAATGTATCATAATTTTTTTTAATGTTCATTTGAGTGTATATTATTTTAAATATTTTTGCAGTAATTTGTTTCTTAACCATACATATTTTTTATACTACAAACCAAAATAAAAATAATTATAAATAGCTTTAGAATAAAAAAAATGGTAGAATAGAAGCTGTAAGATTTATAATAATTTATTAGCAGATATAATTTCAGTTTTACCATTTAAAATAAACATATTTCACCGACAATTATTACTTATAAAAGTACCTAATTTAATTAAAATTTAAAAATATACCAAGTAAGATTTATTTATTATGGTCAGGTACATTAATTTACTTTTTTAGTATAAATAACAATGAAAAAAAAATTTTAGTTATATCAATAAATATAATACCCATTAAAAAAAAAAAAAAATAAGTGTTCTGGTAATCTTAAAGATAATATTTATATTCTATTAGTTTAAATTATTATTTTTGGTATTGCATTATATCTATATTTTAAATTAATTAAAAATGTCAGTATATTTGGGTTAACATTTTTAGTAGGGAGAGAAACAGAATTTTTTAGAAGAATATTGATAAACCTGTAAGTGTTGAAATAACCATAATAAATGTGTTGTGTGAATCTGGATAAATCAACTGATCGACTAAAGACAACATTTCGAAATTCCGTCAGCACCTTATTAATTATAAACTAAAAACAATAAATAGTCAATACAGAAATAGAACTAATTAAATAAAATAAAATAAAAATAAAATATCGTTATTTTACAAATCATAAGGTCTATTGTATAAACGATTCACATCAACATAAATCAAAAATGATTTACAGCTGACACTTAACATTTTATGATTAATATGGGTAGAAAATATTATAAAATTATTAATATAGACTATTTATTCATCATTATTTATAAGATGAAAACATTACAGTAGTAGAACTCCTTTCATAAAATTTTGAGAAGTTAAAATTAATACAATTTTGCAATGTTTAAAAAAATGCGATGTTCTTCGATTTCCATTCTGATTTTTGTGTAGTAATATGTAAGTAGTCTTGTACTAATATAGAATTGACAGGCTATTATAAAAATATTTTTCTTTGAAAATAAACGCCGTAATAACATTGTAATCATCAATTAAATTTGTTCGTATCTACTTGTATATAAGTAATTTCTGGATTATACATTTATCTATATACTTTGGTATACTTCTTTATACAGTTATTAAAAAAACCTATGTATGATTATTACAACAAAAAAAACCATTCATCATAATTTCATGATTTTCATGTTTTTCATTTAAGATTCCATCAATTAGGTTTTAGTGATATTTAAAGATAATTGATTAAATACAAGAAAATTTCTATTATTTTCTCATCTTTATGATTATTGTTAGCTGATATTTATTTCGTAATCCATTAACTTATAGCATTCATTTCTAATATTTTATCTTAGAATTTTGCAAGACCAATTTTTCTATTAATACAATTTAAAAAGTCAGAAGACTCTGTTAACTATATACTTTTATAATTTTTATGTAATTAATTGTATACAATATAATCAATGTGGTCTTTGTAAAACATTTTAAATTACTTATGTTCTTGACAACCTTCTAATTTTGATTTTTTTGTACTTTTTTCTTCTTTATTAATTTAATTGTGTCAATACACCAAGTATTTTTACAATGTCATTTAAATTTGCAATTTATTTATTTGTTTACAAAGTAATTACAACTTTTACAAATTTTTGGTTAGCTTATATGTCTAGATCCATATCTGAATCTTAGGTGTGTTCTTTGGGTTCAAGTAGTATATCCTGTGGTAGTCGTTATTTTAATCTTAGGTTGGCGGATTTTCTGCCAATTTTTTTTTTTTCTTTTTTTTATTTGAAATGTCAAATTGACTTTGAAAACATTATTTTAACAGATTTATTTCAAATTACCTAGTTTCACATTTTTCAAAGAGTAATAAATTGTATTATCTATAATATAGAAACTGTAAGTTCATAAAGAACAATTCATTTAAAAATTAAATAAAATAAAGCTAGGAAGTTTATCTATTTATACATCATGTATGTAACTTAGTAGTTACTCATATATAAACCATTACTAAAATCAAACTACATGATGCCAAAAACTTACAGAGTATAACATTTAAAGACTTTATTAATTTTGCACTTATAACGTCTGTGACTTACTTGGCAATATAATGTCTTAACCATACTTACTTTTTCTGCACTAAAAGAATTAATAGGCGACTGATTAGTAAAAACTGGGTGAACTTTTTAATGTCAAACAATTCAACAATTTATATTTTGTAAATCAAAAAATTTTATTTTTCATTAATTTTAGATTCTATGTGAATAGAGGAATGTATTAGTTTATGCAGGATATGTACTTTTTTTTTGTGTATGTTAACAACATTTTGATCAAAAAAAATACTCCAGTAATCGCAAAATAACCAATGTTTGATAGAACATGGTTTCTAGTAGGTATTTATAGAAAGTCATTTTTTTTAATTTTTCATTAATTTTCCGAATAATTAAGAAAAACGTGCAAACAACTATATATGTTTTCTTCGAAAATAATAAAAATATTATATTATCATAAACTTTTAAAATTTTCACTATAAATATATCACTATATCACTGTTTACAATACTTATATGTAGGACACTTCTCAAAAAAAAAAAAAAAAAATACAAACCTATAAGTATTTAATTTTTACAAAATGATTGAAATCACACAAATCTGCTAGATTTTTGTGGTAAAAATACATGCCATTTTAAATTTATATACTCAAGGCTTAAAAATTAAATACAACATTTTTCATATAGTTCATATATATTCCTCATAGTCAAAAAAAAAAAAAAAAGGTAATAAAATGAAAATAAAAAATATACTTAAAATTCCCAATAGGTATGATTTAAAAACATTAAAAATTAAACTTTGGCGGAGTCAGATATCTCAAAGACATTTCCATTAAAAAATTTTAGTTATTTAGTTTAAGAAATTCCATAGTTTCAGAATATTTTAATCAAGTTTATGCTGTTTATAACAAATTAAATTTTTAATGCCTTTTTTTTTGTTGCTAATATTGGAACAGAAACCTATCTTAAAAAGAAATTTGGTTCTTCTTCTGTATCAACCATCTTCAGAAAAATAAACTAAATCATACGATACCTTTCATTCAGAATGGTTTTTTTATTAACAACCTAAATTATTTTGACGTTTGTAAATATAATTTAAACCGACGTATATAAACTCAACAATTAGAAAATTTCTCATAAACGACCATAAATTACCAAAAATACCCTAATACGTATAAAGTATAGTAAAATGCCGAATCATGAATTAGAATTATAGTACGTTTTTTTTTCTAGTATAAAAATGATTAATGAGCAATGGGTAGAGCTTGGTACGTCATTAAATGATTTCTTTAAATATGCTTAATAACTACGTATTGTGTATACCATCAAAATTATTTGAAGTAGTAGCTAACTCAATATTATTTATATCTAGGGATGAAAGATTAAGTGCTTTGACTATAGACAATGGTACAAAAATGATCACAATTTCCAACGGTCGACTAAAGCAGCTCAATACAAATACAGGACTGTATTTAGGTAAGTCTGTGTTCAAATCAAAATCAATTTTAACTCTAAAAAAATGTATATTTATCATTTTATTAAATATATAATACCATTAACCCCTGTATTTTTTTTAAATTGAATGTCGTTAGATTAATTACTTAAATAATATAAATATTTGATTTGTACCAATTAAAACTTTTGTGATTTTATAGGTGGTACCGAAGACGTGGAAAAATCTACGGGAAAAAGGTACCGGAAAGGTTTCGTTGGTTGCATTTCAGACTTTATCCTGAACACAGACTACCAAGTTAAACTATCGTGGTCCACCGGTACAGAACACGTTTGCATATCATAGAGTGTTGAACGACGTACAGTATTTATCTCCTTCGGCACTTGTGCGCTTACCTTGAGCTTAACCGTATAAAAATGAAACCGAACATTTACAAAAACTCAGGTTTCTGATAACTTAAAAAAAATATTTACTTATGTGTTTTCTTAACGTTTGATATCTAGTCTAATTTAGTTAAAAGCTATTCTTGTTTTAGATTATTATTATTATTATTATTGTTATTGTAACTTACGATCAATTGAGAGTCAACTAACTAGTTTCAAAAGCAGCCGAATGTTCAATATTAAAATTTACACACACACACACACACACACACACATATATATATGTATGTAAATTATCTCGAATTATTTGAAAAACTTTGAACAACTTAGGTATTATATATACATATATATATAATGTCTCGTATGATGATTGTACCTTAATACGTAGTTGTTTTAAAAAGGAATTTTAAGATTATTATTCGAACGCTCTTTCCCATATTCTATACACTTTTATCCACACTTCAAACATTATTATTGTATATAATAAATTACTTAACCAGCTGAAATACAAAAATATTTCCGAATAAGAATAAAATATTGTAGAACATAGATTTTTTCGGCAGAAGAAATTTACCGTCTATACGAACAACGGTAACAATGTGTTTAAAAACGTACAGCTAGTGATAATACAATTATTATTATTAATATGTTTTTTTTATCGATTTTGGATGATGAAATTTTTAAAATATTTTTCTACACCTGTGAAAAATCACTGTTATATCCATTGACTTTTTAGCATTAATTTTCTTATCTTCATACACAACAAATCACTGTTGCGTGCGTTTGATATATTTTAGATATTTCAATAATATATAAATATGAATTACAAGGTTTTTACGTACATATCTTAAAATTAGAAATTTAAAATTGTAGACAATAACCCTTAAAATCATAAAATTTGTGTTTTTTTTATATATAGAAATGTGTATTTATTATTTTAAATTACCTATTTATAATTAGTAAAATATTGTATTCGTTTTGCTAAGATATCAAAGTAATTTGAAAAAAACACACTGTTGTAATTTTAAAACTGTGTATTAATAAAATTGGCACTTGTTAACAATAATTATTATACATTACTATAACATTTTGTACAATACTATAAAAATAACATATTATGTTTTGTTACGAAACGGTAACCGATATAATACTCGTATGAACATACACGTGTTTGTCAATTAAAATGTCTAAACATAAAATAATAATTTGTGTGTTAGAACTATGTAGGGAAAATGCTACTTGTTTAATTTTAAAAAAATACCATCACCTCATTTCTAGCGATAAATAATTAATAATATATTAATAAGAACTTCTTGTGTATCTAATTATCACTTTGTACATGATTTTAGCGACTGATTAAATGAAATACAATTTTGACAAATTGTAAAATATTAAAAATGTATTATAATTTACACTATATTTTGTTACCCAACTCGCTACGGACTCTAGGTAATGAGATAATAGTTTAACCATTAAATGTACTTAAAAGGGTCATTTAAACTCCCATATGGTGTGGTACTACTTAAAAACCCGTCGGTTATTTTAAGTCCAAAGCCTACTAACACGATCCTCGGCCTTATTATTTATAAATCATGCCATATAGAATTGACGGTCTAGTGCATTGAGGACAACTGTAAAAAAAGATGTAATAGAAAGCTTCCGTAAATACTATAAGACATAAAGACAATGTCACTCAAGAAAAACTTCAAGAATCAATACAAATACTGACTTATTTAACTGGATACTTTTATCCTTAAACCTGTTGTAACAAGCATGCGAAAAACCTTAAATAAAAAACGAATCCAATTCAATGAAGTTGAATTAAGTATACTCAGGCTACCTTTATTCTGAACTGCAGCTGGTGATAATGATAATGATGATGGTGAGGGGATGGTGACAGACTCATAGCAGACTATCTTCAGGTGGGGCTTTTATTCTATTTAATGTTTCAAAACGCGTATGAGATTCACACAAAAATGTTATTCTTCACTAATTGTTTAATATGTGTTTTTCCATAAAATTACTTTAAAAAGCATTTTTGTTGTTTTCCGTAAACATATTTTAGCTAAAATAATAACCGGTGAAAACCGAAAAACTATTATTTATATTTAAATGACCTTTGTTATCAAGGTTGTTTATATAATTGTGAACACACAACAATCTACATTTCTTGGATTTATTTGTATGAAATAATATCCATTCACCATTCTTCCTTTGACGATCGGTCTAGCAATATTTTAATTAATGTTATATATCTGTATTAATATTGTATAATATAATTCGAGTACGTCTTACAAACCTATTGTGAATATGATTATTTGGCGCTAGCCGCGCTGCAGTATAATATTGTATTAACGCGTTTAGTCTTGCATCATAAAACATTTATAGTAATTGATTACGTAAAGTCACTATCGAAGATCCCCTAACACACATATAGTTCATTCAAATTGTATTTTGAATTCAACTATTTTTTATCGATCTACCCATATAGTTGCTCAAGTATGTAAAGTAGTTCAACACTCGTACGAATTATGTACATCGTTATCTTACAATGTTCTATCATATGTTAGTTAAATAATGTTTTTATCCTATTATATATTCACAATAAATAGCTTCTAGACGCGAGGGCATAAACAGGATGGGCTTAGCTTACTGATTAATGTCGATTATTAAATAATTGTTAAAGCACTTTTTAAGTTGTACAAACAGAAGCATTTGAACATCTCCCCTACGTAATATTTATGTTACCAATAAAATAACGTTTGATAGACTAAACTATTTAATAAGAACTTTCACAGCACTCCTGTTGAATACACAGAATACAATACATTCAAGAAATGTATGTACATAAAAGAAAAATACAAATACAATACCAATACATTTCGTCTCGTTTACCGCCAATCCACTATTATACACAAAAATATAAACATCATTAATTATGATGACACCCAATGCATTTTTTTTTCTTTTGATAAAAGAAATAAGCATAACAAATTTAATTTCTATCTAATAATTTGTATTAGTCACTCAAAGCCGTCAAATTTTTAAGATAACACCTCGTGGCGCGTACCCATTGTATTTTATAATGTTGGCTGAGCACACTAACAATACAACTCACTGTATAACCAATATAATAAAATGTTGAATTACCGGTATAGCCCTCATAATAGTTTATTGTATTATAAATTGATAATCATCAATAATAATAATCATACTTATATCTTGAAAAAGTAACCTTATTGACAGTATTATTTTATATTTTTAATATTAATATGTTTTTTCGTAAATTAACAATATTGCCAAGTTTCACAATATGTCTGTGATTGTTTAAAAAAAACGAAATGGTCAGTATGTATGCGATTTCTAATGACTAGACCACTTGTGTGCAGCGTCCATACCGCTATTATAATGTTACACATATAATTAACAATAGCAATTTATCCTTAGCTTTCACCGACAGTTGCGGGTACTGGAAGACCTTGTCGATTTAAAGAAGGCTTGGTAATTGGTGACGTCATTCAACAAGTAAAATGTAATTTAGAAGTCGATAATCTAATGGTTGCACTGACCAGAGGATGAACATTGGGTATTTATGCACTTATTATGTGATTTATGTTTACACCAATGGTTCTATGTACACGTAATTAAAGTATTATGGGCCTAAAGAAGCCCGTGAAGTATGAGGGGAGCAAATTGCAAAGAGAGCCCAGGTAAAAGTTTTATTTTCTTGTATTTGGTGATCAGTGAAATAGTGTCGGTAAAACTATACGGAAGAGAGTAACGTTGCAGCATTGTGATTTAATTTAAGTAAATTTTATTCTCAGATCTTCAGATAGGGCGTGGTGGAAAAAATTCCTGTTAAAAAATGAAAACAAAAATAATATTTGGTGTAAGTAGCACTCCATAGCAAAAAAAAATATTATGTTAATATGAAACAATAAAAATCTGCTCATTTCCATTGATTATAGAATAGAATTATAATGTATTGTAAATTATAAAATGTTATAACTTAGAATCAATGATAGTACATACAGCGTAAAAACCGTTTGTCCGTCACGAATGTACTCGAATCATCTATAAGAAACGCCGTTCGTTCAGTAAAATATTTCATCGCGTTATGTGGTTCAACGGTGCAATTTTTTTGATGTCATAATATTACGAATAAAATTAAGTTTTGCTATAAGTCTAGAAATATTTCATGAATATCACAGTTCAATCTTAAAATATACATTTGAGTGCATCAGCCTTGAGAGTTAATAGATATAATTACTTACAGTGACGTATTTAGAAACTTATTTTTTGGGGGAGAGGTGTCATACCTAATAGTGAAGTAATTTTATAAATTAATATAAAATGTTCTTTATCAACATATTTTTTAAATATTAAATAATAATAATAATAATTAATAACTAAATTAAACGTATGATTGTATTAATCGTATTTTATATTACTTTATGTTGCGCATAGATTCATAGTACATATTGGTAACTGACAAGACGTGAAAGTCACTGACTAACATATTGATATTCTTATCGACCGATAATTTCTCCACATCAAATTATTTATATACTATGTGTGTGTGAGTGCCGTGTGGTCGATTGTTATTATTATTATCCAATTACAATTTAATTATTAGTGATATTAATATATATATATATTTTCATTATACTTTATAGAATAAACAAACTAAAATTATTATATTACTGATATGTTTAAAATTTGACGTTTTCAAATTTTTTTTTTGGGGGAAACCCCCCAGCGCCTCCCTTCCTATAAATACGCCACTGATTAATTACATAAATAGGATATTTAGGAAAAACGATTCATAAATGCGTTACTGTCAGTAATGTCAGTAATATGTTTTGATAACAAATGTGTATGTAAACCTTTTGTTGATCCTCCCGACATCTTCAATATGACTAAACATTGTTTACATTATACACTTTTTCCATCATTTGCGAATAGGAAATGACTTCAAGCCGACGATGTATCTCTATCTTTTTTGTGTTTAATAAAAACACTATCACGGGAAATTATATAATAAAAGTATAACACAGTTAAATATTCAAAAAAAGATCCATGAGTTGTTACCGTACGCTTCGTCCCACGTGTTATATGTATAACCGAACAGCTACTAATTAGTTAGTACGTAAAACGATCAGTATTAATCTTATCTTACAAACACGTTGATCGGCAATCGGCATCGATTAAATTATTGAATCGCTGTTACATAGTCCCGGGAATTCCGGTATTTTATTACACAAGTCCCGGTATTTTCGGTACCAAAAAGTAGTCAGGATCCTGGGATCCTAGGATTCGATATCCTGAGATTGTAATCACTAGTTACTGATAAGCTTATAGAAAAAATAATAATTTTCCTCTAAATAATGTGTACAATTTTAATGTTTTTTTTTTATATATAAAATAGGGATTTATTCAATGATCGATTTTAATTTTTTGATTTAATCATATAGTTATAGACATATAATTTAGACAATGCAAAATAGATTTCAAACCCATTAAATAAGCTAGGTAGAACTATGTCGTATACGAAAGAAAATAATTCATAAGTGGATGTTGTTGATAAAGGTGATAGTGTTATGTCACTAAATGTTTCTTAAAAGCCAGGTTTATTGGTAAATAATATTTGTGACTTAACACAAATAAAGGATTTGAATAGTGAGTTATTGGAACTAGCTTCAACAGTATGTCCAACGAAAGCACAAGACTATTCTTCAATAGATGGATACTTATAAACCGAAGACTTATCATTAAAAAGTGAAGACATTATCAATGATGACATGAGTGAGAATGGAGAACACGACGTGGAACAAGATATAGAAGATAATGAGTCTTGACATAGAAAAAATTACGTTCAAAGAAGCATTGCAGTTAGCGAATCGACTGAAGAAATGATATCTCAATACAAGTGATACAGTTTCATTGACATTGGCTAGTCAACTTCAATCTAATTTAGAGCGAATTTCAACACAAAAAAAAAAACAAACAAACATTTTAGATTTTTTTTCACCGTTGAAAAATTATGAAAATACGGCAATATTTACGGAATACCGATTTTCAATATAATCCGTTTTTTTTTTTTTTTCATCAAAAAACCAAAATAAAACTCAAAATATAATAATCGTAGAGATATGAAATGTTCACTGAATGCTTATTATCATCGCTTGTCATGTATGGTATGATTTTCGAAACAAATTTTTTTTTAGCTATTAATGGAATGTTGATATTTTCCTATTATTTTCATATTTAATCTATGGTATAAATAACTACCCGACATAATGAATATGCCAATCGCACCACCTCAACTGCATACACTGCATCACGGCATACGACGTGGGCCAATCATAGACGTTTTAACATATCACGTCATTCCCGTTCCTAGGGCACCTTACCTAACCAGGTACTGGTAGATCACAGAGTTCTAGGAGACACCTGACTGTGTTAATACTAGTCGTGCCCAACTTGATTCCTGTACTGTTTACCTTTACCTATACGTATAACGTATATCATATTTACAGTGTGTTTGTTCATATTAATATACCAAATTAGTTATATATACAAATTGAAGAGCAATAGAATTATTTCCATTATAATATGGTATTTTCAGCAACTCCCAAAAAGTACGAACATAATAATTTTGTTCCAAGATTAAGTGTTTAGTAAACACCTGTAGAATCCAAACTTCCAATTGTTTATAATAATATATTTACATAAAAAAAAAAAAAAAAACACTAAACTTATTTACTTTTGTTACATATATAAACGTTATAATATGTATATGTATATATATATATATATATGTTCAAGTTGCATTACGTATAGATAATAGATATGAAAAATACAAAAAATAAACATAATTCAGAATCATTTGAATTGTTAAAATTAAATTGATATGAAGACGTTTAGTAGTAGTAGTAGTCGCGTATGGGAAAATGTTCTAGAGATTTATCAAGCGGCGCCTAGAGATTCACCTGACATAAAACCCAGAGGGTCCTTTCAGACAATCAATTTGGCTTTCGACGTGAACGTTCAACCATCGACGTGTTGAAAAAGGTACTAGCTATAGTGAACCGTAATGAGTTCAGGCCATGGAGACGCAGAAATTTATGCGCACTAGTCTCAATAGACGTCGCCAACGCCTTTTACACGGTTCCTCGGGACAGAATCAGAGACGCATTGATAAATAAAAACACCCCTACTTACCTAATAAAAATACTAAGGGATTACCGTCGAGAGAAGCTGCTGCAGACGGACATCGGTAGTATAAATGTTACCAGTGGTGTACCGCAAGGATCAGTTATTGGACATACTTTATGGAATTTATTTTATGATGACCTCTTGCGGCAATCTCTACCAGATGGAATAGAAATCATCGCATTTGCGGACGATATTTCAGTGGTTAGTGTTGGAAAAAATACCGAAGTTTTGGAGATCACAATGAACAACACGCTCAGCTTGATCAGTGAATGGATGAACATCGATGGTTTGACGATCTCGATAAGCAAAACGGTTGCAATGGTTATGACGTCAAAACGACGTTACAGACGCCCAAAATTCGCATTGCTAGGTGAGACACTGGAGCTTAAGGATCATATAAGTTACCTCGGTGTCGAACTTAGCTCTAAAATCGGCTTCTAGGAACACGCGAAAGTAGTGCATGAGAAGGCCATCAAAACGACGACTGCCTTATCAAGGTTGATGCCGAAAATCGGAGGCCCAAGGTAGATCAAGAGAAAACTGCTCAAGTCGGTTATACACAGCCAGCTGCGGTATACAGCCCCAGTGTGGTGCTCGTCATTGGTGTTCCAGAACCACAGGCAGCTATTGCTCGGTCCCCAGCGCACCATGGCTCTGAGAGTAGCCAGCGCCTATAGGACGGTATCTACTGGAGCTATCCTAATGGTAGCAGGCTTTGTTCCGGTACACCTGATGGCTCACGCTCGGTGTGAATTACGGCAGCTTCAAAAAACAGGAGCAATAGACGCCAAAAGCACAGTAGATAACGATATTTGGGACTGGTGGTAACAAGAATGGGACGGAGAAACTAACACCGATACGTGGACGAAGTGGTTAATACCAGATGTACACAGGTGGACAAACCGAGCCCACGGGATAACTTGCTACCATATGACCCAATTCCTAACTGAGCACGGGTGCTTCCCGGTATACCTCCACAGATTTGCTCGAGCGGAATACCCACACGGCGTGTCATGTGGGGACCCGTCAGACGACGCGGAACACACGTTTATCAGATGCGACCGATGGGAGAGAATGCGCACGGAACTACAGAACGCAATAGGCGAGGACATTGATCCAGAATCAACAGTGGGGATTATGCTAAAAAACCGACCAAATTGGCATGCAGTTGAACAGTTCGTCACCTCGATTCTAAGTACCAAAGAAAAAGAAAAAACAACAGAGATAAAGGAATCGTCGCAACCAGCACCATGTTATAGCACCTACGGATCTTGTAATATAAAAATGGTTATTTTAATTATTTATCTATTGTATTATAATCTTGTACACTTTGATGTTGTTATTGTTTCGAATTTACATAAATAAACGATGGCGGACTATTGAGAATGCAAAGCATAAGTAGTTCTCTCTAGTTCTCTCCTGGTTAAATGTTCAAGATAAAAAAAAAAAAATGGAGTAGTAGTAGTAGTAATAGTAGTAGTGTTGTACCCTGTAGACTACATGTCGTTTATACGACACCCGGTAGTATCAATGTATATTTTTTTTCTTGTAATAAAGTGGCCTACGTGACCAGCGAGCCATCGGCATTTGCTTGATCAGCGAATCCCACGACTCGGCGGAAACGCTGGGTTGTTTGTCACAATGCTCGAGCAGTCAAGTAATGACCACTACAGAGCATCAACGCGTGTCAGAGCATCTTTTAATATTTTATTATTGTAGTATTTCATTATTTTATTATTGCATTATTTCTTTATTCCATTTTAAATAGTCCATAGTTCATTTTAATTATAATAAAGTGCTATTTCTTTAAAACAACTCTCCTTTTATTTATCACCTTCACCACAAAAAGCACCATCACATCAGTAGTCATAATAGTTAATACACGTAGATTGTGGACTGTCGATGATGGATTAACCTCATTGATCGATGTAAAATATCTTTAGCTGCTAGGGAGAAGTAGGAAGGGGGAGATGTTAATGTAAAATTATAATTTCTATGTTTCAAACGATGACGAATCTTAGTTTTGAATGCGGTTATCATCAGACTTTTCCAGTGCTATACTGAATGACATTGTGATGTAAGGATATACGCACTTTCCTCCGTATTGCCCCGCGGTTGGTTCGAGTCCATTATAAACGTGAATATAGTTTACAAATATTACACAGTGACGAATCACGAATTCCATAGCGATAAATTTCAATAATCTAGTCTACACGTTATATCAATGTATGCGGATGTCTAAGAACTGTACACACAACGGTCTGGGAGTAATAATAATTAATAACGTGGTTTTTAATTTGAAAAAATTACAATCTGGCTTGTTTTATTTTAACACTATTGTCGACCCGACTACGTAAGATCAATCGAAATCGTCTTTTCACAACATCGAGACAAACGACGTACCGGCAGCCGTGCTCATCGTCCAGTCGACTCAGTCTTCTCTTTCGCGCCATTGATTTTCATTATCGATTTGACGATGGATTTGATGCCGGTGAATATTTCCTTGGACGTCGGTACGATCTTCTCGGCCGGCAACAGGAATCCGTACACCCCTTTGTCCGGGAGCTCTACGGTGTAGCTGTATTTAATTCCCGCTTTCCCTTTGGCCCAATCGTCAGAGCCTCCTAGAACGAAATTATTATGCAGTGTTCGACGTGAGAAGAACAATACGCTAGCGTGGTATTAACTGTTTCACGAGATGATAACATGGTCGTTACAACAGAAAAACAGACAGTATAATGACGTACATGGAACAATATCTATTCGAAAAACGGTTCTTTACTGTGTATTATTAAATATAGAAACCCACCGGTTTCAGAAATTGTGCTAACGTTTGAAAGGTGAATGGCGGTGGTTATACCGATAGTATTATCCGCTCCGAAGTCATTATAAGTATATTCTATTTTATAAGAGCTCGAAAATATTAAAATGTCTCATTAAAATTATACAATAGTGGTGGTTAAGTTTTTAATTTGGCTATCAAAAAGTTTACGGCACTAAGCCACAAAAATCTGATATTTACTAGATGGTGTACGAAAGAAGTGAAACTCATTCTCCGTTTTGGGACGAGACGGACAATTTTAGGGAATAGCGTATTTAGACCGGAATCAATAATTTTGTTACCATATTTAATTCATTATCAAAATCATTGTAAATTTTGTATAAATATTCTATTAAATACAGGATTGGTTTATGCTATGATTTTGACTGTGGTTTGACTATAAATTTACTAAAAATATATAAATAATTTCACTATGATTAATAACGTTATAAATGTTAGGCATTCGATGTTGTTTTTTATTAAATCATTATAAAAAATTATTGTAGGCAACGATAATAACAACAAAATATTATATGTTTAAACCCAATAAATAAAAATTCGTAAAACCACTTCTTTCATTATTATTATTATTATTATTATTATTATTGCCATGTGAAAAAAAAAATAAAATTATTATTATTTATTAAAAACATTATATGGCAATATTTTTCAACATGTTTATCTATAGCACAAAATATCAACTCTATGATGTACCTGGTATGTGTTAATTATTTTATAAAATCAAATAGATATAGGTACCTGAAGTAGCATATAGCAACGAAGGAGAAGTACCAAGCTGATATTGCGAACCGTGTACTCTTTGTATGCTTTCCGTTGCCTGTCTAGCTAAATACATCATATCATCGTAATCATCAGCGAGCTTTTTCGTGTGACTCCAGGGTACCAACCACATTTGTGAATAAGAATGTAAAGTTAAATACACCTGAAATATTAATAAGCACGTGTTCTTTAGCGACAAAATGTTAGTTCACAAACAATGTAACGTGTTTAAAAACTATATCTGATTATACAAGTCAATGCTAACCATACTTAATACTATTTATCCGGATAATAGGAGTATATAATTGTATCTTTGTAAATGTTAAAATATAGAGTATTGGTTTAAAAAAAAAAAAAAAACTGTATGATACTTTTTGGCCATTATTCATTGAATTGTTTAAAATCGATTTACTTGGTATACCAAAATTGACGAATAATGTGAAAAAATCTAAACAGTATTAATAAAAGATAAAGATGGTATAAAAACCTAATCAATTTAATAAGCCAATAGTGGTAATATATTTTTCCTTATTTACTTAAAGTTTGCAGGCGACAGATTTTATCACCTTTTAAAATATAACCATAATATTAAAATACACTATTTCTATGCGTTTCCGATAATTTTTTAGGTTATTAGTCTTTGAATTTGGATAATCTAAAATGATGGAGACAATTAATCGTAAAATAAATTTGTCAACAGTTATGAATTCGTATTATAATAGATCGCTATATTCAAAATAGATTCAATATCGGTTGCCGTAAAATAATTGATAATTTTAGTCGGAAATGTAACAATTGATTGGACGTTAAACAGATGCAGAAATATGAAGACGTTCGTTGGAAGTAGCGCACGTTAGGCCCGATTAAACATTGTTGGGAAGAGGATGAGAAGGACAAGGAGAATAATAATAATAAGAAGAAGAAGAAAAAGTAGACAAATAAAAATAAAAATAAGTGCATCCCTCTCGTGAAAAGTATATTCACTAATTTACTTGTATTCTGTCCCGGTGATCCAATAGAAAGTCGGAAACCGCTCTCGTTTCCGGTTCGGAAAAAGCCCTCGACCCGGCATAAGTATCGGAACACGGATCTCGGCTAGCACCGACTCCTCCCCAATGCCAATCCCAATTCCTGTTCAGGTCCACGCCTTCGCAGCCGTACGACGTGTCCCACAGAGTCCTGAAAACAAATCCGTATTGTGGTCCGACGTCTTTAAGAGTAAAAAAATATACTTCAAAAATGTACGTGTCACGATCGTGTCGGCGCATCTGTGCATAAAAAAATCGTTTCTTTTCGATTTTTATGCAAAATAACTATACGGTAGACCATTTAGTATAAAGTCATATATTGTTCTTCTTCCTCGTGATATTCAACCTTCAATACCTTATCGTTCAGTATATTTGCCTCCAGTTTTCTCTGTCTATTAAATATTACCTACCAATCCCATACTGGTCTTACTCTTTCCACGTATTTTTGTTAGCGCTCTTTATTTTTATTGTAAAGTGTGACACACTTGCACCGCTCGACTCTACCGTCACGGCGGCTGAGACTTACGAGTAGCGGGTCGTGCGAGTGTGCGACACTGCTACAGTTCCGTGCGGTCGACGGCTACAGTTCCGTGCTACGGGATTAGTGAATCACCGGTTGGATTCACTAATATCGCCGCGACCAACGCTTAGCCGACGTAACAGTATTAATAATGTTAATACCTTTATTTATTTTATCTACTTTTCTTTACTTTTATTTGTTTTTAAACGAGTTGAAATATATCATCATATTATTATTATTAGTATTTATTTTGTTATATATACCTAACACTTTCTTACCCCGACTATTTTTTATTGTAGAAATCACATCTTATACTGTTATATTATATTAAACGGGTATTATACAGTAAAGTTTCCTATTTTATATACATTTAAATAAAATAACGATGGAGCGTTATTATTTTTTCGTTAAATTATTTCATCAATGTCATAAAAATAAAAGTAAAAAAAAAAACTTATGACTGCAAAGTATTAAAGTTTAAATCACCGAGTTATAGACGTTATAATTGTTATAGTTTGTCATTCAGCTACAAATATTATTAACATTATTCATTATGAGTGCTAAAAGAAAAGATTGCTCAATATTGAGATTTTTTTTTCAAAAAAAGTTAAACAATTACATGATGTAGTCAATGTTGATACCTATGAATTCTTTGTTTTTTCTTTCCAGATGTTTCTTTGTCATAAAAAAATACAGACAACAATTTGTTTGTTAAAAAATCAGCTAACCTCTTCCCCCACATGACAAAATCATTTGACCACCACAGGAATCTACACTGAATTGTCATCCCGGGTAAATCGTACTTCTAGACTTAAAATATTATTTTCATGCTATCATATACCTTGCCGATTCGGTGGCCACGCTCCTGGACTTCCTCCACAAACGGTCCGTCGTATGACTGTACTCATAGCCGTCCGCGTTCACCACCGGCAAAATGTACCAGTCCACTTCCGAAACCAACTTCCTGTAAGATTTATTTTCCACTAATTGTCTCATGACGTACAACGCTACTGCCGGTGCTATCCATTCTCGGGCGTGGATCCCTAACACAAAGAAAATACCGTTTTTACCGTTTTAGCTTCGTGTAAGCTATAATCAGCGTCCGACAGAACCGATCCGATTTTAATAACCCTCCCCTCACCGCTCCACCGTGAGATCCAGTTATATTTCCCTGCTCGATAGTGATTTTTTTTTTGACATCGATCCCCTCGGATCATTGAGTATTATGGTAATAATATTATTATAAAGCGTCGTACCTCCATCAATCCAGATAGCCGGTTTGACAACGTTTTCTTTGGTCTGTCCACTCGATATTTTCACCACTTTTAACTGCCGACCTTCAGATGTTTTTCCGATCGGCAACAACTCTACCAAATGAGGATAGTGTTCTGACAGGTACATTAAATAATCAAGAATATCTGAAGAAAAAATATTAAAATTAATATTTCCATCTTATACATACAACTAAATAACTTATATTTTATTTGCTTGCTAATTTCTATATAATACACCAACGATGGAATGTTTAGAAAATGCAATGATTAAAGGTATTTCGAATGTGATATCTGTTCAAACTGCTTACTCGATGTCTTATCCCAAGGAATAGAATTGCTTTTAAACTTAGAAATTCATTAATTTTTGTACATCTAATAATAAAATTTTAACAAACTTATAGAAAATAATTAACTTAAATTACTTCAGTTAGTCAAAAAAAGAGCTTGCGAATAAAATTTTTTTATTTAAAAATAATAAATTCAATTTAATGAGTCTAAAATTAATGCTTAATTAACATTTACTGTAATAATTAAAAAATATATTTTGTCTTTTTAATTATTTTAGTTATAACTAACATCATATGTCAGCAAAAGATTTAAGAGAAAGGGAGTTTATAGTATAATTTTGTTTTTTGACTAGTTACTTTGACTAAATTACAAATGTAATAGGCAATCATCAAAATCATTTAATTTAATTTTTAGAAAGAGGAGATCTATATCCTAAACTCTCTCTACTGACCATAACTTAAGTTATAACTAATCCTTTTCTTAATAATTCAATAGTTAGAAGTTCATCTTATTATTATTTGTTCTATTACACATATAAATAATATTTACATTTAAACTCGATTGATTAATTTTACAACTTTTAACTAGGATTAATTTGTTTTTAGCGATTTTTTTTCTTTTTATCAGTAATAAATGAACCACTTAAGACTGAAATTATGTTCTTAACTTAAAACTAAATAACTTTTTAACCAGTCAATTTCCATCTTTGTAAGTAACTATGTATTACCTTGGTAACGATGATATCTGTTCCAAGTCATTGTATGACCTTTAGTTGCTTTTAATTCTGATTTTTGATTAAGGGACGGCGATTTAGGGTTTTGTTTAGCGATACTCCTCTAGGCAATCAAAAAAATAAATATATTTATATAAACATATAATATTGAATTTTATTATTTATTTCCACAAATAGCAGGCATTTTTACACCGTTAAATTCAAATATTTTCCAAGTAATCAAATTATACGCATACTTCTAGATCGGAACTGACTACGACGAATTCGATCTCTCTTTGAGACAGAAATCGTTTGACATCTCTGGCGACACTAGGCGGTAACACAAGATCGGCCGTTTTGTTCAACCGTATAGGCATCCATACTTGCACTCCTGGTTCTTCGGACATGGCTTCGATATCGAGCACTTCGTCTTCGTCGGTCGGCACAACCCTGATAAGCTGATATTTTTTGTATGACACACGATTGGGGATTTGTTTACGGTTCGAGATACCACCTACGAAACGACAATATATTATAAAAACTTTCTATGTGATATTTACCGATACTAAGATTTAGATAAGACGTATATATTTTACATAAAACTTGTATATCATAAATAGTTAAAAAAAAAAAAAAAACAAACATATTGTAAATTGTGTAAGATAAAATAATTAATGAAATAAAAAATTATTAATCTGAATACTTTGATCGTTTACGTCGATTGAAACGAACGTATAAACGTACACAAAAAAATAAATAAAAGTAATACTTAGAAAAACGCCGGCTCTCTACCATGACCAAATCACACACGGTCACCATAAGAGTCCTCTTTATTACACATTTCTCTCCTTTTATATTATCAAACTTAACCTACATAAAAAATGCTTACATGCTAATTTACATTTGTTTAATTCTCATAATATAGTTTTTATATTATTTTTTTATATTAACTCTGTTCTAGTAATTATTTTACCTCTCGGTTTGTATAATAATAATGATCTAATACTCGTATTATTTTTTTTTTTTTAAGTGTCTATACAGAATTTGAGGTGTCTAGTTTAATAGTTATAATTCGTTATAACTATTTCATCATTATTTCATCTATTACAATATTATATATATAATACTACACTTCAAAAAGTATAAATCCATTTTTTCGGTGTAGTGAATACGTTAATATAAATATTTATTTACATAATTATGAACTTAATGCATAAATATTTTTTAATATATCGTGTGATTATTCATAAATAATAAGTTTGTTCTAATTGAATAAACCAATTAATAGTATTTCACATTGACATTTGCATATTTATTATACCTACATATATACATATATAAATTGCAATGCTTGGCTATTACATATTTTATAGAATAAAGTCAATCGAGCATGAAAAATAATTTGATTTATAGTATTCTTGTATGGAACAATAATGGGCAGAAAATGATCTAAATTCACGATAAAATATAAAGCCTCTATGCAAAAATATGATAACAATAATAAACATTATATTTCAAGTTTTTTTTTTTTTTATTTATTATTTTAAAATGTTTCAGCACTTTAGGTGCTATTACAAGTACGGTACGTTATATTACATTAACAGTTGAAATTTAATATTTTACATTTATGTTAGTGATTACAATGGTATATAGGTGGTATATAGTTATAATGATAATAGTCAATATATTTCAAGTTAAAACTTGTTCTAACAATTATATTACGATATAACACTCGAATTGATTATGGATCTAAGGAATTTATTCTATGACCTATATAATATAAATTAGGTCAACTGTGTTTACACATTGTTTTAACATATTACCATACGTTTCAGATAATTTGAGACTCATTAATTACATTTTCCACATATATCATACAAAAACATTTTAACACAAACGACGTTAATACACAAATGGCTAAAATAGTTATAGTATAGGACCTACACTGTAAGTCAATAAATTTGCTAGCCCTCACTTAATATGTAACACAAGTACTTTTACGTAAACATAAAAAAAAATGTTTACTTCATTACTATTCATACACAAGTAGTTATAACGAATTGATAAAAAGCTTCATATTTTCATTGTTCATTAATATTTAAGGGAATAAGAAACTATGTCTAACATATCTAGGTAAAAGTAATTTAATTGTTGGAGGATTTAAAATGTACAACATTGTGGTACTTCTGAAGAATATTTTTAAAATATGTGTAATTATAATTTAAGTATCAGTTAATAGTTTTAATTAAAAAAAGTTTGATGAAACAAGACGAAATAAATAAATTTATATCAACATTCATAAATATTACCAGACTTGACAATGGTATTGAAAATTCAAATACCAATACATTTCTGTACACATTTTTTTATAACTATTTATATTTTTTTTATTTACCTATCAATTGAACACTGTATTTTTTTCTCAATTATTTTCAAACTGCGAATATTGTAACTCAAAATATTTTTAATACATTGATGATTTTACCACAAACCAAAAAAAAATAGGCCAAATATAGGTTTTGGATATGAATACATAAGACATGAGTTTAACACTAAAAATTATACAAATTATTGTGATTTTAATCAAATTTTTATAAATTTCAATATTCAAATGAAAAAAAAATATCATTTTATATATTTTCAATATTTTTTCATTGAAATAAAACCAATTTATGTGAAGTTTTATATAACAATTTTAAGATTATAAAAAAAAAAAAATTAAGTGTTAATGAATTAAAATAAATTTCAAAATTTCAAATATTTATATTTGACAGAAAAAAAGTCAAAATCATTTGAAATATATTCCTTCTCAAAAGTACAATAATATTTGCATACAGTAAAAATAGGAGTTTCTCAAACTATTATTTTTCAAGTAACAACGCATATCATGGTAAAACCAATATAATATACATGTACAAATACTCTTTGTTTAGCTCAATAATTTTAAATGAAAAACGGTATGTAGTACAAATAATAAATAACACGAAAAAAAAATTATTATAACTATTTTGTGTTCATTAGAGCATGTACTAGGTATTTAATATTTATCATTAAAAATATACTACTAATCATTACCACTTCAATATCGGTTTTTTTTAAATTATCATTAATTTCACCAACAGTACATCAATTTTTCAGGTTATTGTAACGTATTATTATGGTAGAATACTGAGTTCAATATTCAAATAACTTTTTTTTATCGTTTAATCATTCGTTTCATGAAATCAAAAAGCAATACGGAGTATAGTTTTCTAAGAATTGTAATTGAAAAATTTACTTGAAAGGAAACTTACATAGAAATCATATTTTCAATAAATTAAAAATGCGAAGACCGACGACTATTATACTACAGTACTACATATAATGGTTATAGATAAAAACTGAATTTGAATTCAAAATGTTTTTGTGGTCCTAGACAATGTTTATTAAATACAAAATTCTTTTCGTACGTAATTTAATTGAAAATTAAACTTTCTTTTACTTTTCTTTCACAAATTTTGACGTTTCTAATTTTTCCGTAAAACATTAATAAAAATTTGTCGATTCTGTCAGATTCAAACCAAATAATTTTGTTTGGTTAAGTTATATATTATAAAATATTACTACTAGGTATTGAAGTTTATAAACGTTAAAACGTTCATAAGTGCTCTGCTTTCACTGTTACTTTAGATGAAAATACAAATTGTGACTATGGCTAAAACAAGACAAAAATATAATTTAAATAGATTTTGTCCTTAGTTTTGCATATTATAATTGATTTATTTTTATTTCACTAAAAGGTGTAGACGACCCTCAACACTGCGGTCAAAGAAAATTGAATGTCTTTAATTTTACTTTTATATTTACGCATTCAAAAAATATGAATGAATAAATTTAAAATGCCTTGTCGTTGACTAAATAACTAACAAAAATGTAGAGATTTAAACTTTTTTTTTCGTAAGTATAAAAAGTAATTTTTTGTGTACGTGTGCAAGTATGGTGGTGCATAATTAAAATAAAATTATTAATTTTCACTGAACGATAAACTCATAATACCTTTTTAACACTACATGGTTGGTGTATAGTTCAATTTTCCATTAAATTATTTAGACAACGTCGTATTAAGTTGAGATAACGTTTCATTACGTCCCAATATTATCGAAACGGCCCCCGAAAATGCGTAGTTTACGCCGGTAATAATATATTTTGTTAAATTATAACATTTATCAACTACATGTAGGATGAATTGCAGTGTTTTTCCGTTTACTGTCAACCTCTCATCACACTTTATTATAAAATATTAAAATATAATCGTAAATACTATTTCGAGACTTCGTTGTATTTTATGTGGGTGCATATATTAAACAATGTGCGAAGATTTTTATTGTTTATTGTAGTTCGAATATTATATCTCGATAAAATATTATACTGAAGAACTTCAACAACAATTTTCCAGTTATAATTATTATGTCAGTTTTATATCGCAACAAGTCGATTGATAACGCCAATATTCAAATCGCACAAAGGAGAGAGTTAAAACTATTACTGATGAATAGAAAATCGAAGTAATTCATAGTGTGTTAGTCGTATAGGTAATTAGAAAAGTAATCGTTTGTATATGTGAAAGCACCCTTCCAATAATGATAGTTGTAATAAGTGACCGGATTAATTACAACACATTTACAAACGTTTGATTTAATCAAACTGCCTTTAATACTATACACTGTGTCCAATGAGAAATACATAAAATATTCCATAATTATTTGTATCTATTATTATTCCAAAATCTAAATATTTTTACAGTTCCATTATTCTCCATAAGAGAACTATATCATTAACAATGTTTAAATACATTATTTGGTGGGAAGTATGGCTCGCAAGAAAAATAAAGATAGTAAAAAAATGAGATTATCGTTATAGCGCACAGACGGTATAATTTGATAGTTTCACGATGGTAAAATAACATTATTGTAAAAAGAGGATTTAAAAATAAATTAATAAATGATAACTAGTCAACAATTTTTCAAATATCAAATTCGATGTACGAAGTTTAAGTTAACTATAAATTAATATGGTTATGAATAAACCTGATGGTGGTGACACAAAGGACCATATACAAATATTTAATGTCGAAAAAAAAATCAACTATCATTAATTTCTATACTTTCCATGTTTCATTCTGTTATGTAGTCTGATCAACTTAAGCTGACCTAATAATAATATATTGGCATACAAACGATGTGAGTATCGCTCAGGCGTTCGATTTTACACGGACAGAAAAAATACATTTTACCGCGTGTGACCAATTTTACAGCGCTCCGTTTGTATAATATTTTTCATTTTCAACAGTTTTAACGTACCCAGCAATCAAAATCGTCCACCGTTAAAAATACTCCTATTCAGAACGACGAGTTTTTTTTTGCAACCCGAAGACTTAAACTAATGATAATTATCGAAACGTTCATGTTGGAAAACTGATGAAAAACGTTTCACCAAAAACACAACATGTCGTACATCCATTAGGAATCGTCCTCGTCACGTTAGATTTCGGACGAAACTCAATGTTAAGGACGAAATTAAATGATAAAATAGAAATAACTGATTACGATTTTACAGGAAATCAACGATTTGAAAAGCTAGTATACTTATAATATTTGGTTAATATATTTGTATTTATAATAACATATTATATTCTATCTCGACTAACCATGAAGAATACAAGCAGGGCCGTAGCAAAGGAGAGCTAGAGATGCCTACGCCCCGGGCGCAATTCCCGGGAGGGCGCAAAAATGAAAAATTTGCAATTTAATTGTTACTTATGAGTAAAAGCAATATTATGTATTTATGAATTTACTTATATAACTTACAAATATTATTATATTATACCTATGAACCTAATTATAATTATTATGTATATTTATATTTTAATAAGTTATTGATTTAAATGAGTGCAAGTTCAATTTTAAATCTATATTTTATCTATAATTTTCAAATAGATATTCATTTACTTTAGTGCTTAGCATTGTGGTCGTTCGGATGCATAAAAATAATAAAATACGTGAACAATACTGCATGTGTCGATAAATTGGTACATTTTTCCATACCTTTTGGCTATTGTTCCGTAAATAAGGAAGAGAAAAAAATTAATAATTAAGAAATATTAATAACTATGTTTATTCGGTATAATATGAATTGATCATTACATTAAAGTCTACAACGGTGCACACAAGGGTTCGGCGTAGTACCCGGAAAGGAGATCAAACGAACCTGCCGGTCAACCCGGTTGTTCTCGCATCGCTCAATTCATCCAACAACTCTGTGCATAAACGTGTAGAGACGTTCGGATTGTATCGTTGAGAATTTGATCATAGATTAACTTGTGTTGTATAGCTATTATTCCATGCAAGGCAGGAACATTGATAACCAACAGCCGAAGATAATTTAAATCAACCACAACGACTAACCAACGACCAGTTTTTTCGAAGTGTTATTTGATCAAGTTTATTATATTCTATATTTGTTTTGCTACTTGTTTTTATTTTTATTAAACATTGATTTTAATGTGATCTTAAATATAATCACTAGTGTGTGTGTACTGAGACTTTTACGACGAGGAAAAACTTTTGAAAAAGATAGTCGAGATGTCGTAGGCATATAGTCAAATCATACTGACTATAGGGTATACAATATAATCGTACTATCATCTACGTCCATCAAATCTAATTATTTATATTATATATAATATAATGTATATATTTATGATTTCATTTTTAAAACAATAATAATAATGAACACGAAATTAGACATATTATTAAATAATACATAGCTTTTTTATGTATAAAATAGCAATAAATAACTGATTAAAAATATATTTAAATTTTTAAAATCATACAAAATGTTTTTTTTATTATTTGCCTGGCATAAAATAGGCATTTAACTTTATTTGATTTGATTATTTGCCTGATTTGACTATATGCCTACAACACTTACTTTCCCTTGTAGTACCCGTTATTGCGGTAAGTTGTTCGAAAGTAAAGCGAACTTTTAGAGATATGAATCGTAAATCCTGCGGGGCTTATTCAAAACGTCCTTTTGTGCTGTACCCGTGTTATCGTCGCCATCAAAATGAAAATCACGAACAGTGTTTCATCACTACGCGTGGTGGATGTATTAATTCGTTTATTTAATTTACTTATATTTGCTCGTTTGACAGTCCGTGAATCGGTAACCGAGAAATTACCTGTTGCAAGCCTTTGCGCGGCATATACGACACTTTTCTGTAAAAATATTTATCCAAACGACGTTTGTCCGAGGGAAAAAGAATCAAATGCAGTGTTGGTCGACACAAATATTTCATTAAAGAATAATAATTACCCGCGATCGGCGCAATGACGGCATCGTAAAAGTACTCCAAGTAACTGGCCACGGCGTTGTACAGCTGAAGCGCTTTGAACGGGAACACGCCGTCCAGGAATCCGCCGCCACCACCGTCCGAGCCATCGCCTCCATCCCCGGCCGTTTCGGCCACTGCGGCCGTACCGTCGTCGGCGGACGAGACCACCGCGGCTGCAGTGGTCACGGCCACAACCACGGTGGCCGCGACTGCGAGCCACAGCAGCGGCGGGAAGACGGTGTGCCGCGGGCACCCTGTCATCGCGCACGCGTTCCGCCGCAGGGTTGGGAAATATAAACAACAACAACAACAACAACAACAACGTCCGAGGAAAGGCGACCGGACCGCGAACGTGAGGATTTACGTTCGATCGAATTCGATAACGTGTCGCGTCGGTAGAAATTTTATTTTTTTATTTTGCGTTCTATCCGTTTTCGCGGTAATCCGTGTCGGCCGCGTGCAGATCCCCGGGTGCGCCGGAACACGGTCACATGTTGCGATCGAGCGCAACAGCCGTTCTATAGATCCGTGTGTGCGTATTACGAATATGCGTATGAAAATATCTCGGTGCGGCGCGGACAGGGCTTCGACTCGTACTGAGGAAAACACGCCGTTCGTTTACGGTAACATCGGAGAACGCGAGTGGGCACACACGCGCGCATGTTTTCCTCCGGCGGCAGTGGGGTAGGGATAGGGAGGCGCGCGTACAGCGGTCCCGCGTGGACGTTTTCCCAGAGTAGATCGTCGACTCGTGTTACCTGGACGAACCGTTTCGTCGACGTTTGGGAACCGCAAAAAAAAGATACAGACCCTCGAAACACGTCGATCTACATGGACGGAGATCGAATCCAATAATTATGGTTTACGTTAAAAAAAAAAAAATAATCGTATTTAAACTTAAAAAAAGTAAAAAAGAATTTATATTTCATTTCGATCAAACCTCGTGTTTAAACTACATTATATCGTTTACCGTGTTGATAAAGCCAATGATACGCGTCCAATCGTATTTCTATAAGCAAAGGCACTGATCACTAAACATATCTAGTATTAGACAAAGACAGACGAACAGAGATTTAGCTACACGAATTAAAACATTACAAACTAATCTTAACAAGGTCATTTTCGATTACTGCATCGCGTCACCTGCACAGTATATACTCGTATAAGTGTATTATGAGATATATCAAGTGCGATTAATGAAACTCAAACAGCGCTAGTAACAAGATTACGTCAGACATGATTTCCGAGATACATTTAAAAAAGTTAAAAATCGTCATCATTTTGGTATTGTTGATATAAAATGTTTCACAATTTTAAAACGTGTTTCAGAAAGAGTTGAATCCAATATTCAAATTATATTTTAGTTGTCCTTAATTTCTAGCATGATTTCAACAACGAAATACAAACATTTATTATAAATGGTCAGCTGACAACGGTCCGGAAAATGTCGGTCAAAATCAGATACTTTTTTAGTTTTTACGTATTCATATGTTCCAATTATCTTTCGTCAAATAGAGCAAAGTAAATACAAATGTAAATGCTTGGTTTATTTCTTTATTTATTCATTTTTTTTAAATTTAATTTGTTTTTATATTTACCTTATTTTAGCACTGATTTCAATTGCTCAGCTAGATGGCCGAATAACACGCATTTAAAACAGAACTTTCTTCGGCCGAGTGGTGTTTTTTAGCAAGACGACATAGATTTTTCGATTCATAAAATCACAGTTTTGTACAAGTATACTTAAATCGTTTACCTGTAGTAGTTGTTAAAATTATATTCTTCAGACCCAACTGGCTGTTGGCTGTATTCCGTTAATCGCGATTGTAAAATAATTTTATTAATAACATTGTTTATTAATAAACAAAACAATTGTTTTTGTTTTTTGCTATATTATTATCTCAACATTGTACACAATCTAATGATCGGATAAGACTTTTATTCATATAAATATGAATATAAATACAATAACTAACCAACCATCCATAATTGTACAAAATAAAACGGTGATGATAATATTGTTTTTCAAAAAATGTCGTTCCTTTCTATTTATATTATAGTTATAAACTCTATGTGTTATATTGATAAACCATATTATCATTTATAAGTAAAATATTATTTTAGAATATAAACACTCTAGGTATTATACGTTTAAATTGTGCTCATAAATTTTACTTAATGTACTAGTGTACTTGTAAGAGGTTATATTTTTTATCATTCATACAAATTGTGAAATAAGTGAAAAAAAAAATTTTTATTTATCTAAAACCATATTCGCTCTTTACAGGTAGTGTGGGTTGTTTTCATCGCCTGTCACCAATCGAAAATTTCTTTAAATATCCGTTGGTCTACGCTGTAAGATATTATCCACCGGCAGGTATAGTATAGCTTTAAGGGTTACCTTCTGGTAAACTTAAATAACTAACATACAATAGTATGAACGGCTTGATGGTTTATAGTCAATTTAATCTACGACGGAAAAGTTGTATTAAAACTCTTGAACTCTAGTTGTAAGACAATATTATATTTTTCATTGATTTAGTCTATATTGAATATCCTATACAAAATATCTACCTTAATAAAATATTTTTTAAAAACTTTTCAAATAGCTGTTAGATTTAATATTAATAATTAAATAAATATTAATTTTATAACCAAGAAAGTACATAATGTTTTATACGCAGTTATATACTTTATATACTTTAATATACTTTATATTTTTTAAATTCAATGTTTAATTATTAAAAAAAATATTTTGAAATGCTATACATTTTAAAATCCTGTATGGGAAAAATGTATTAATTAATTACTGTGCGATCATCAGTGGAAGGCGGTCGTATCGTTAGCTTATTGATTCTTTATGGCCAAATTAACTATAGTGCCGAGTATGAAAATTAATATGCATTATACCCATAACTAAGAAAGGTGACATTTTTAATCTTTTGAACAGCCTTTTAACTACCGTAATGTACAATTATCCCACACCATATTTTCTGATACATTTTTTTAACTGAGACATTTTTTCTCGACTATACATTTTACCAAAGACATATATTAAGAGATATTTTTGTCCCGAAACCGTAGAATATTATATTACGGTTGAAAAACTTCGTTTAAAGTATATCAACATTGAGGAAAATCGAAATAGTTAACAATATCATCGTTATCATTAATTAAACGTATCAAATGTGATAATAAATATTACTGTACATTTTGCTACGATTTATGAACACCTTTATACATCAATAAAATATTAGTTTTTTTATTTTAATTGTATTAAGTCTTAAAAACAACGATCTTTATTAGAAATTAGATAGTTTTTCTAGAGCAGACAACTGCAGCTCCGTGGACATTAATATTCCTTAATTTCTTTTGATTGTTTGCTTTTTATTTTCTTGACTATCTAACATTTGATACTCATTGCATGGCCTATGGTTTATTTTATGATGTATACCTTTATTATAATATAATATTTAATTTTACTTTTATCAGTATGTAATTACCGATGTTTAATGAGTGTAATTTAAGTATCTAAATATGTCAGTAAATTTAGCATGTTAAGGTCTAAAACGCTTCATAGAATTATAACTATTATAGCTATTACTCTCTCAGTAATATTCAAAAAATTATATTTTAGTCATAAATGCAAGAACATAAAACATTAAAGACGATTTTGATATGGTTATGAATATCAATATAGTTTTCATTTTGATCCAAGATGTTTTAAAGAATTACACATATTAAAACTATTATATTACTCTCTGAACATCTAAAAAATAATATTTAGTCATGAATGTATGAATTTAAAACATTTAAGATCGTTGATGATTTTGTATGGTTTTGCATATCAACATCGTTTTTATTCCCAAGATACTGATATTTTATTTTTATATTTATTAATTAGTATCTCTATCAATTCAATATCAAAATATTAGTTATTCATCTCTAGAATTTTAACGGTCGTAGGTAATCATTGCCAAAACCCAAGTATAATCATTTGTTCGTTCTTACGATAAAGATAATAAAAACTAAGTTATTTTAAAATTTAAATCAAAATAATTTGATATTATCTATGAAGCTGTGTACTCGTGCATTTTAAACCTTAAAGTTCTTTTTTTTTTTCATTTTTAATAATTGGAATAATAAATGAAAAAAAAATGTTGTACGTCCTTCTCTGCGTAAGTGCCTCTGCAAGTGCGTTGGAATATATTTGAAAACTAAACAAATTATACGAAAGGCAATGTAGTGGCGATAAAATGCTTGCCGACGATTAACGAATGATTATAACGATACGCGATCAAACAAAACGATCGATCTGTATGGAATCGCAGGTACAGACGAACAGTACAATGATATGTTAAGAGTTATTCATTTGTTCGATCGACACTGATGGAATTGAATGAATTAATAGGATAGTTGTTTCAACAGTGCGCGTGTAATAATTGAAAACTGTGTGAGCATCGAAAACAATAAAAATGCTCGTTTTGATTAAACTGATATCGTCGCGAGAAAGCAAAATTACTGTGCAGACAATTATACACATTACACAGAAGTATTATTAAAACACGCGACGCTTTAAATGGCACACGGTCCACAGAAATTGTTTCTTCACAATGTGTATAGTCATAAGTGCAACAAGCGTTTAATGCTGACCGTCACAAAACGTTTGAATGACCGATTAATAATATTATTCTATACATATATATATTATTTGCTTTATTATAATACGCCACCGATCGTGTTATTTTATTCCTTATAACTGTTTTTGTTTTATCCGTGCCCGCGGTGTTTTTGATTAACCATTACGGCGATCGACGCCGTATGCCCCTCAGCAGGAATAAGAAATCTAAGTCCATCCCATTACAATACAGTACAGCTGTATGCCACGGGTATGGTCATTGTAATCGATTTGCTTCCGTGAACTCTCGCGTGAGCCATTGTATCGGGTCAATGATGATAATAATGATGATGCTGATGATGATATTAAACGGAATTTACGGCAGTGAAAAATCGTACCTAGTTGTGAAGAATCGTTGTAGTGTTGGTTCGATGAATCGAAAAGAACACACACATTCGTTACAACGCATTAACCGTTGATTTACTTGTAACTATTTTTATTTCATTTAATTTATTTATTTTTTATTTTTATTTTTTTAATATTTTAATATACATATTGACATATAATAACACACTAACGGTAAGTCATCTACGTCGAGGAACGAATCGAGGTCACAAGCTTGAGGTAAAATTTTATGAGAATTAAAATCAAAACCATAATTAACGTTGATCAACATTTTATGTTATTATTGTTATTACAATCACATTAATATTTTATTTTTACGTAAAACCGTAACTGACCTAAAACGATGCGCTCGTTGGTAAATATATTATAAAAAACGTTGTGTTTAAAAAGTAATAGTTAATTTTACCTGGGCACGGTTGTCATATTATCATAACCACTTCCATCGTTCGTTATTTTTTAAATTTTCATCAATTTTATAATACGTTGCAGAATAATGGAAATATTTTTACTTTGTATAGAATACTGAGACGTTTGTTGACACTGTTTTCTAAAAACTATACCTGTTATTTGCTTCAGTAAGCGAGCTTATATACAATAGAGTAATAGCTGCTGGAGTGCAAGTATTCAAAACCTCGTTACTAAAACTAACATTGAATTACTCTAGTGGTACAACGCGATAAAGTTATAATGACATGTATGATACCACGCCATACATTGTTTTGCAATCACAGTAATATTATTATGTCTCATTCGAAGTTGGTAGTAACAAATAAGTTCAAACCTAAGGCAACTTAAGGACATTGGAAAAAATGCCAAATTGTTTTGATAGTGTTTAAACGGTTTAAGAAGATTAGTACACAGCAACAGACAATTCATATTGTTAAAAAAAATCAATATCATATTTCAATTATGTTTATTATTATTACGAGCGCGTTTTTTCAGTCCATTCTAGTGCTACAGAAAAAACAATTAGGGAAAATGTT